GCATCTACCTGAATATGCTTGTGAATAGTATCATCTGAAAGAGAAAATTTTGCTCTACAAGACTGATTCGTTTTCGTTTTGCAATGCAGCCATTAAGTATCCATTTACTCAGGTCAAAGTATGTTATATTTTGTGCATTAATGCATTGTGCTCTCTGCATCCTCATGACCCTGCTAGTTACTGCATGGCTATTGGGCTTCAGTGTGATATATAACATACTAATGAGGTCGAACCCAGAACTCCCTGCCTTCAAGCTGATCTGACCTGCAGCAGGGAGTTCCTCAGTTCTCCATTGCCCCGCTTGGGCCAATCTGTATGAACATGGTCACAACAGCAGCTGCGACTCAGGAGCCTTATTACTTCGCTTTCTTCCCCCTCCTAACATTATAACTAATCCCCCAATAAAAGTATCAATTAATTGTAATCCTTTTCCTCTCCATAGTGTTACTTTGTGTCCTTTTATTGCCTCTAACCTCTCTCTGCATGAACCTTTCCTCTCCCAGACTGCAGATCTCTGCCGGCCCGCCCGGGATGCGAACCTGGTCACTTGTCAACAATGGGACATCCTGCCTTCAGGGAAGATCAGGATGTCCCATCCGCCACTCTCATTGTCTTTGCCCCTTGGACTGAAACCCACACACAGATAGCATCAATTAATCTCATATCTGAGACAGAAGGATATCAAGGCTTGGCAGCAGTTCCAGCCACTTTTGCATGTTTCAACCTCTCGGGACAATACAAGGCCAGGTTGAGAAATCTCCGGATTATTGCCGGCCATCGGACAACATATTAAGTCACAATAATCCACTCATTTTTCCTCTCGGTTCATTGTTTTCCCGCTTGTACTGCTTCCTTGACTCCCATTGGCTCAGGAGCCGAAGCGGCGCTGGCATCCCCATTGGCTGAGGAGCGCCTAAGCCAGCCGCACCCAGGGGCAGCTCAACCCATTACACAAAGTAAGCATTTGCAGTATAGATGATTTTGCCCAGGGGCGCTCTTGGGGAAAATAGACCTTGACATATGCGAGTTGTAGTTACTGGGATGTATAGTTCACCTACAATCAAAGAGCATTCTGAACTCCACCAATGATGGAATTGAACCAAATATGGCACACAGAACTCCCACGACAAACAGAAAATATATATCGGTGATTGGTTGGGGGGGGGCGCCAAAATACTGTTTGCTTACCGTTGAAAATTACCTAGGGCCGCCTCTGGCAGCGCCTCCCTCCAGCAGATGACACCAACCAATCAGCGCAAAGCCGGCAGAGGGGCGGGGGGCAGGGCCGTAGCCAGAAAAAAAATTCGGGAGGGGTTGAATTTTTGGGAGGGGTTGAAATTTCGCGGGGGGTGGGGTTGAAACCTGCCTCCTAGCTCACACTGAAGCAAAGAGCACAGCAGGGGGCAGAGCAGCCTTCAATAGCCTGCAGCTCCACCCCTGTCAACCACCTCCACCAAGTCTGGCCTCCTTAATGAGAGCATTCAACACACACACACACACACCCAACTTGGTTGCTTCACTACATCGGCTATTGCTGCAAGTAATGACAGTGTGAATAAATTGCAATATTTGCCTGAGATAGTGCTTGCAGTTCTGGAGGAACTCTTAATTTTTTGCATCTCATAGACTTAGCATGGGGATTTGGTTAACCAGTTAAAATTCATGAATAAACCAGGTTTTTTAAAAAAATCTGAACCATTTCGGGGGGGGGGGTTGAACCCCTAAAACCGCCCCCTCGCTACAGGCCTGGCAGAGGGCCAGAAGTTTGAATCTGACAATCTGTATTTTCTGTAAAATGTACCCTTTTCTCCCTTGCCAAACATGTCGACTTTGGCAAGAGATTGCGGTTTGACATCCGTACCAGCTGGAACGAAATAAAGACAACACGTGGCTTTTCTTCAACTTGGTGAGACTTTTATTGGGAAAAATTAGGAAAAATCTTGGGTGCTTTCTTTGTCTTGCCAGGGCTCTGGACTCTCCTTGGTGAGTCTGATTGGTCTTTGCCTAATATTGAGCAAGAATTTGCCTAAATTCTTGCTCAATATCACTTTGACCTGAGCAAATTGATACATAATGGTCGTGTGTATATGGCATTCTCTGTGTTAATGGCTCAGTCTGAGATGACATCTAAATAAAAGAGTAAAATATAATCCCAAGTACTCACATCTGGATTCTTAAACACTTTCTTAGTGGAATAACAAATTGGAGAGAATTTAGGATGACACAAACAACATTTTTATCTTTCACTGCATGCTCTTCTAAAATCAAAACTAATTTTCAGCCAGATTGTGTCTGATACTATAAACATATAACCATAAGATTTGACAAATGGTCATGGTTCCCACCCTTTTTCTCAGAGAGTGCCATCTAACAGCTAATTTCTTATGGACGCTTTGCCAGGAAATATAAATACAGGCACCAAATGCAAGTTTCATTTGCCTTGAAAAAGAATTCATGCGTGACAATGCACAACAGGCTGCTGCTAGACTGTAAAAAAGTGTGCCTCGCCTCTCTCCCTCCAGGGCTGTTTTCTTTAATTGAGCAGAACAACACAAAACCTGTTTCTAGAAATGCACTATTCTTATTCTTTTTCTTCAGCATTTGTCCTGCTTGATGGCGGGGTTTGCTTTACAAGTTTGCTGGCACCATTTCACTTGGTCGTGCGCCTGATCAGGGTGTATGCCAGTACTCTTCAGATCATTGTACAATGTGTCCAGCCAGCGTTGCTTCAGTAGTCAGACAAGCACCCACCTTGTCCACCTTCCGTAAGGACTTAAAAACTTGGATGTTCCGTCGTGCCTTTGATTAGGCAACTGGCTCGACCGTATCTAAGCTCCTGCAGTTTAGTTTGGCCTACCCCCACTAATCTCGACACTATATTGCCAAAGGTATTCCCTCTACATTGGCACATTTGAAGTTTTGCACTTTCCCTCGGCTCTACTTAGGAATTCGCTGCACTTAGTTGAGCCCCGATTCTGTTTTCAGCCATGATATTGTTTCTATGATGTTGTTGTTGTGACTGTGTTATGTTTTTATTTGATTGATTTTAATGCTGTTGTTTTTATCTGTGATTTTGGGCTTGTCCCCATGTAAGCTGCCCTGAGTTACCTTGGGGAGATGGTGGCAGGGTATAGAAATAATTTTTTTATTATTATTATTTGAAACACAACAAGTTGAGGCCACAGCAAACAAAATCACTCTGCTGGCTGTTGTATTGGATCACACGTCGGACACTTCCCAAGTGTCTAGGACTGTGTGATGTATCGGCGAATAATGCGTGTAGATCCCAGTAAGGTGGCCTTTTGCAGCTGGCAGATGGTAATTTTGTCAGCACCAATTGTTTTTGAGTGCAGGCCAGGGTCTTTAGGCACTACACCCAGTGTGCCGATCACCACTGGGACCACCTTTACTGGCTTGTGCCAGAGTCTTTGCAGTTTGATTATTATTATTATTATTATTATTATTATTATTATTATTATCATCATCATTATTATTATTGTATTGTCAAAGGCTTTCATGGCTGGAATCACTGGGATGTTGTAGGCTTTTCAGCTAGAGAGAATGTTCTAGAAGCATTCTCTCCTGACGTTTCACCTGCATCTATGGCAAGCATCCTCAGAGGTTATGAGGTCAAGGTCTTTAGGCACTGCACCCAGTGTGCCGATCACCACTGGGACCACCTTTACTGGCTTGTGCCAGAGTCTTTGCAGTTCGATTATATTATTATTATTATTATTATTATTATTATTATTATCATCATTATTATTATCATTATTATTGTACTGTCAAAGGCTTTCATGGCTGGAATCACTGGGTTGTTGTAGGCTTTTCGGCTAGAGAGAATGTTCTAGAACAGTGGTTGTCAACCTGGGGTCCCCAGATGCTTTTGGCCTACAACCCCCAGAAATCCCAGCCAGTTTAACAGATTTTAGGATTTCTGGGAGTTGAAGGACAAAAACATCTAGGGACCCTAGGTTGAGAACCACTGTTCTAGAAGCATTCTCTCCTGACGTTTCGCCTGCATCTATGGCAAGCATCCTCAGAGGTTGTGAGGTCAAGGTCTTTAGGCACTGCACCCAGTGTGCCGATCACCACTGGGACCACCTTTACTGGTTTATGCCAGAGTCTTTGCAGTTCGATCTTTAAATCCTCATATCATGACAGCTTTTCCAGTTGTTTCTCTTCAATCCTGCTGTCGCCTGGGATTGCAACATCAACGATCCATACTTTGTTGTTGTTTATTATTTGGTCTCTTGCCAGGCACTTCTAAATCAAGAGCTGTCTTGCAAATGAATTCAACTTCACCTCGGAGAGTATGACCATATCAAGTTTCTATACCAGTGTTTCTCAACCTGGGGGTCGGGACCCCTGGGGGGGTCGCGAAGGGGTGTCAGAGGGGTCGCCAAAGACCATCAGAAAAGACAGTATTTTCTGTTGGTCATGGGGGTTCTGTGTGGGAAGTTTGGCCCAATTCATTGTTGGGGTTCAGAACACTCCTTGATTGTAGGTGAACTATAAATCCCAGCAAGTACAACTCCCAAATGGCAAAATCTATTTTCCCCAAACCCCATCAGTGTTCACATTTGGGCATATTGAGTATCCGTGACAAGTTTGGTCCAGATCCATCATTGTTTGAGCCCACAGGCCCTTTCCTGTTCCTTTTCCCTTTCCTTTTTCTGCTTAAGCGGCTAAGGGGGAAAAGGAAAGGGCCTGAGGCTGCTAGGAATTGTGGGAGTTGGAGTCCAAAAGACCTGGAGGGCCCAAGTTGGCCCAGGCCTGCTATATAGCCAATTTCAATTCAATTCTAGCACTTCCCATCGGCCCTTACAGAAGAGGCTTCGTAACCATAGCAACGGACGCCACACCACGAGGCCCAACGGATAGCCCGCTGACTTCCTCCGAGCCCTGATTGGAAGGCCCGCCTGCCAATTAAGCTCTCCCGGTCGGCGATTGGCCAGGAGCAACCGGAAGGGGTTGGACAAGGCCTTCGCTTCCTGTTCCTGAGGCAGTGCGGGCTGTGCGTGTCAGAGGCTGTCCGTCGGCTGTGGTGAAAGGAGATTTCAGAGTGAAGAGGAGGCGAGATGGGCGCCAGCGGGGAAGAGGCGGCTGAGAGCGAGGAGCGCTTCGACGGCATGTTGCTGGCTATGGCGCAGCAGCACCCGGGCGGCGTGAGGGAGGTGAGAGGGCGGGCAGGGCGAAGAGGGCCTTCCTCCTTCCCTCCCTTCCGGAGAGACAGGGTCTCCTCTCAGGCCCTGCTGACCATTGTATCCCCCTGGACCGCCTCGCGGGAATGGGACTGGGAGGCACTGTTTTCCAGTGGCTTCGACCCTTCTTGGAGGGCCGGGCCCAGAATGTGCGCTGGGGATTCTTGTTCGACCCATAACCGTTGACCTGTGGGGACCTGAGTAAACCGCAGGGTTCAGGGCTGTCCCCCATGTTATTTATGCGACCCTCCAGCTTCTTTGTGCCACCAAGTGCCATAATTCCTGGCTACTGAACAAGCTGGCAAAAGCTCCTGGGAGTTGGAGACCCAAACACCTGGAGGGTCGCAGTTTGAGGATCTCTGACTATATAGTTTATTTACTTTATTTATTTACTTTGCTTATATACTGCTGTTCTCAGCCCAGGGGCGACTCACAGCAGAGTACAACATAGAAAGAACAAGGTTCAAAATGCAAGACACAATATAAAATAATCCACAGTCCATCATTAACAAAAAACATCATCATCAAAACATCATCATTACTACAAAAGCCATTCCGCGTCGTCTCATCGTCAAAACCACAATCCAGTATCATTTTCCGTTGTTCCATTCCTAGTCAATTACCAATCATTGCACTTCTTGTTCAAACGCCTTCTTGAACAGCCAAGTCTTTAATTTCCTGCGGAATATCATCAGGGAAGGAACCAGTCTGATGTCCACGGGAAGGGTGTTCCACAGCCGAGGAGCCACCACCGAGAAGGCCCTATCTCTCGTCCCCGCCAGCCGTGCCTGTGAAGCAGGCGGGACCGAGAGCAGAGCCTCCCCGGAAGATCTCAAAGCCCTCGTGGGCTCATAGGTCGAGAGGCGGTCAGTTAGGTATCTTGGGCCGGAACCGTTTAGGGCTTTATAGGCCAATGCCAGCACCTTGAATTGAGCCCGGTAGCAGATCGGCAGCCAGTGGAGCTGGTACAGCAGGGGGGTTGTATGCTTCCTGCGTCCAGCGCCTGTTAGTAACATGGCTGCCGCACATTGGACCAGTTGGAGCTTCCGGGCCGTCTTCAAAGGCAACCCCATGTAGAGAGCGTTGCAGTAGTCTAAATGGGATGTAACCAGAGCGTGGACTACCGTAGCCAAGTCAGACTTCCCAAGGTACGGGCGCAGCTGGCGCACAAGCCTAAGCTGTGCAAATGCTCCCCTGGTCACCGCCGAGACCTGGGGCTCCAGGCTCAGCGATGAGTCCAGGATCACACCCAAGCTGCGAACCTGCGCCTTCAAGGGGAGTGCGACCCCATCCAGCACAGGCTGTAACCCTATACCCTGTTCAGCCTGTTCGGCACTTTCAAACTTCATAATAATCTATATAAAAATGCTCTGTGCATAATGAGTACCTTAAAAACAAAAGAACCAGTGAACGAAATCACACCAAATTTGGCAACAAAACGTCTCACAACACAAGGATTGTCCATCACTCAAAACATTATTTATTTATTTATTTATTTATTTATTTAAAAGTTTTGTATACCGACCTTCTCACCTCTCTTGAAGGACTCAGACTGGTTTCCAACCATAATATCACATACAATCAATAAAACATCATAATACATGTTACAGTAAAACATTAAAACAGCAATTACAATCAATAACTATAATGGTCAGTCGTCATACTAAAATCGTTGATCATCATCCTCCATCCATATGTCAGGGTGTTGGCTCACTCGTCAAATGCCTGTCTCCATAACCAAGTCTTCACCTGTTTCCTAAATGTCAGGATAGAAGGGGCGGTTCTGATCTCCAGGGGGAGAGAGTTCCAGAGTCGAGGGGCCACCACCGAGAAGGCCCTGTCCCTCGTTCTCACCAGACGCACTTGCGAGGCCGGTGGGACCGAGAGCAGGGCCTCTCCAGACAATCTTAATAATCTTGATGGTTTTGTCATTTGGAAGTTGTAGTTGCTGGGATTTATAGTTCACCTATAATCAAAGAGCATTCTGAACTCCACCAACGATGGAATTAAACCAAACTTGGCACACAGGACTCCCCTGACCAACAGAAAACACTAGAAGGGTTTGGTGGGCATTGACCTTGAGTTTTGGAGTTGTAGTTCACCGACACCTAGAGAGCACTGTGAACTCAAACAATGATGGATCTGGACCAAACTTGGCATGGATACTCAATACGGCCAAATATAATCACAGATGGACTTTGGGGGAAATAGACCTTGACATTTGGGAGTTGTAGTTACTAGGTTTATAGTTCACCTACAATCAAGGAGCATTCTGAACCCCACCAACGACAGAATTGGGGGAAACTTCCCACACAGAAACCCCATGACCAACAGAAAATACTGTATTTTCTGGTGGTCTTTGGTGACCTTTCTGACACCCCTCGCAACCCTCCCCCCCAGGGGCCCCAAACCCAAGGTTGAGAAATACTGCCTTAAGGCCATCCAGTCCAACTCCCTTCACCAGGGCAAGAAAACATAAAGCCCTCCTGACAGAGAGCCATCCAGCCATAGGTATAGATAAATATATATGATTCTCTCTCTCTCACACACACACACACACACATACATGTTTATGACATATGTAGTACCATAGATTTGAAAAGGACCCCTAAAGAAGGACAATTATATGTTGCATGTTCCAGAGTAGGAAAACCAGACAATATTTATATCAGCACTGACAAAGAAACAAGAAATACTGTTTATGCACGAGGATTGAGAAATTACATATATTAGAAACCAACACTTTCTCATTACTTTATTTTCCAGATCACCAGACTGGGCCACAGCGATGCGTGGCAGGGGATGGCTAGTAATCTATATAAATACAAATGTAATTTTCGTTTGTGGTATTCACAGAACTCAAAAACCACTGGGGCAATTGGCACCAAATTTGGACACGATACACCTAACAACCCAATTTCTATGTAAGATATAAATACAATATTTTCTATATTGTTATATAGATTAGTATGTAATATGTTACTATTATATATTACTACATAATACAAATTAAATATACTTACAGAATAGAATTGGAAGGGACAGTCAAGAAGTAACGAGAGAAGGAGGGAAAGAGGAAAGGAATGAAAGGAGGAAGGAGGGAGGGAAAGAAGGAAGGAAAGAAAGGAAGGAAGAGAAGCAAGAAAGGAGAGACGGAAATAAAAAAGTGAAAGGAAAAATATAGGGAAGGAAGGATGTAACCAAAGAGCAAAGAAAGGGAGAAAAGAAACAGGTAGAGATGGAAGAAAGAAGAAGATAAATAGGAAGGGAAAGAAAAAGAGGAAAGGAAGGAGAGAAAGAGGGAGGGAAGGTTGGCCACTGCAACGCGTGGCGGGTACAGCTAGTAAATAATAATAAAACTTTATTTATACCCCGCTCCATCTCCCCCAAGGGGACTCGGTGCGGCTTACATGAGGGCAAGCCCATCAATGCAGTACATCATAATATAAAAGCATAACCAGAAAATAAAATACATGAAATCCAAAGAAATATAATAGGCGACAACAGACAATATAAAAACATGCAATTAAAAACAAAGGATTTCACTGGGCAGGGCCACCTTCAAGGCTAAAATTTTAAAAACTGCGAGATAGGCCGGTGCACATCATCATCGGTGCATTCAATTGCACGAATAAAATGCTTCTAAGGACGTTTAGTGCAAAGTTTGGTCAGGGAGTTTCTTACATTCAATCACTGAAGGCACATTGGAATAGCCAGGTTTTCAGGTTCCTCCTGAAGATTGCTAGCGGGGGGGCTTGCCTAATATCTCTGGGGAGTAAGTTCCAGAGCCGGGGGGGGGGGGCACCACAGAGAAGGCCCTCTCCCTCGTCCCCGCAAGTCACACTTGAGATGCGGGCGGGAGATAGAGAAGAGCCTCTCCGGAAGATCGAAGAGATCATGTGGGTTCGTAGTTGGAGATACGGTTGCGCAGGTAGGTGGGTCCCAGACCGTTCAGGGCTTTGTAGGTCAATGCTCTTTGATTGTAGGTTAACTATAAATCCTAGCAACTACAACTCCCAAACGACAAAATCAGTTTTTTTGAGTGATGATCATTCCTTGGGTTAGTAGGTGTCTTGTGGCCAAATTTGGCGGCAATTCGTCCAGTGGTTTTTGAGTTATATGATAATCCCCCAAACGAACATTACTTTTTTATTTATATAGATTCCACATACTAGTCTATAACCCAATGTCTTTAAGCATATAGATATAGTATAACTGTACTAACTGAAGTCTGAAAGGAGACAAATTGCAATCTACCTCCTTAATACTGGTAGCCAAATTTTGTTCAGTTTCATGGTTTCCTCCTTTTTCTGGTTGAGTGGACCTAAACTGGGCTCTCTGGAGACTCCACCATGGATATCAGAAGAGCTGCAAGGCCAAGAACAAGCCACGAGAATAAATACAAAGATCCGCCCAGAGCAAAAGTGTTCTTACCGTGCATCAAGGGAACCACTGAACGCATAGAGAAGCTGATGAAGATACACAACCTACAAATGATCTACAGACCCACTAAGAAAATCCTACAAATACTACGTTCAGCAAAGGACAAGAGGGATCTTCTCATCTTCAGTAGTCTAGTGTATACCATGCAGCTATAGACAAGTCTACATAGAGACCACCCAACACAGCATTGCCCAGTCACGAATCAAGGAACACAAAAGGCAGTGCAGACTAATTCAACCAGAGAAGTCAGCCATAGCAGAGCACCTGATGAACCAACCTGGACACAGCTTATTATTTGAGAACACAGAAGTGCTGGACCACTCAAACAGCCACCTCTATCACGTTAGCTCCATTGGCTACTAGCCTGCTACTGAGTACAATTCAATGTGCTGGCTTAAGCCTATAAAGTCCTAAATAGTTCCTGCCCAGTTTACTTGTCCGAATGTATCTTCCCCCTCTGAACCACCTCGGAGATTAAGATCTTCTGCTCTCAGTTCCACCTTCTTTGCAAGCGCAACTGGTTAGGTCAAGAGACAGGGCCTTCTCAGTGGTGGCTTCTCGGCTGTGGAACTCCCTCCCTAGCAACATTACATCAGCCCCCTACCTCCTAGCCTCCAGAAGGAGAGTGAAAACCAAGCTCTAGGACCAGGCCTTCAGAGAAGCAGTGCAATAATATAATATATGTGCAATGACTACGGAATGGCATCAGACTACAATTTTTGGATTGTGGATTTTAATATTGAATATAATTTTAAAGTTTTAATATGCATTAATTTTAATTCAATGGATTTTAAGCTTAATTTTGTATGTGTTTGAGGCATTAAATAGCTACCATATGTAAGCTGCCTTGAGTCCCCTTTGAGGTAGAGAAAGGCAGGATATAAATAGGGTAAATAAATTATTATATGCTATTTCTATCTATGTTGTGAATCTTTTTAATGAAATGATACCTACATATAACATGGGGGTTACATTATACCTAACCATATGTAACATGGCTTTTAAAAACCAACAATAAATTATGAATTCATGATTGGTGTTCTATCTTACCCAATATGTTGTTTCTGGGAGATGCTTTGATAACAAATAGTTTGTTACTTGACATGTTGTCAGTGAACCAATGCATTGGATTAGATCTTCCAGAAGCACCATGAAAAGGTTTGAAATATAATCTTCCAAGACTACAATTCTGTATAATGTAGAAAGATACCAACCTTGAGCATTCTAGTCTGCTGACATCACAACCTCAAGAGAAATTCCCTGTATTCTCTGTGAAAGATTAATACATAAAGCAGGGGTCCTCAAACTTTTTAAACAGAGGGCCAGGTCACTGTCCCTCAAACTGTTGGAGGGCCGGATTATAATTTGAAAAAACACATGAATGAATTCCTATGCACACTGCACATATCTTATTTATAATGCAAAAAACCCACTTAAAAATCAATAGAATAATTAAAATGAAGAACAATTTTAACCAATATAAACGTATTAGTATTACAATGGGAAGTGTGGGCCTGCTTTTGGCTGATGAGACAAGATTGTTGTTGTAATTGCATGCTTTTAAGTCGTTTCAAACTTAGGTTGACCCTGAGCAAGGGCCGGGTAAATGACCTTGGAGGGCCGTATCCAGCCCCTGGGCCTTAGTTTTGAGGACCCCTGACATAAAGTAATGGCGAGCTTTCTCCATGGCCAAGATTTTCATCATTGTCACCATAGCCACTATTTTGGGCAACTGGAATTGACTTTCCGTCCTTCCCAGTCACTCCTGGGAGCATTATGTGGGTATCATTTGCTGTTTTGAAATCAGAGGGAGGACAAAGCAGCATTTTCATGCCAGAAATAGCCCTGGGAGGATACTGGATAAAATCTTTGGTCCTCTAAACAGCTAGTTTAATGATTTAAATTAAAGTGAAGTGATTGTTTGAATGGAAATGGCAGTCACATTAATGCGGAATGTGTCAAAACGTCAGTTAAAGATTGTTATTCAATACAAGGTCCATTTGAGAAAGCTAGGCCATGAAACCTCATTAAGTGTCCTACTCTGTATACACAGTTTCTAAAATGTGTACACAGTTATAAGTGGAGAAAGTACTTAATGCTGGTTTCTTGGTGATTTGTTGCAGATTTCTGGGCCAGAAGGATATTGGTTCTGCTAGAAGGTTCTATAACATGCTTGCTAACCTCCTTTATGTGGCCAAGAACATATTGCAAACAGGAAAAGCTACTACAAGGTTTTTGAAACAACTTTGGTCACCCCCAAGACAGTGTTAGGATTTTTGAAAAGAAAGTGTTATTATCCCTTGAAAACATCCTGTCTCTTTTCCTTACAGCTTGTGAACACCTTCTTCAGCTTCTTGAGACGCAAAACTGATTTCTTTGTAGGAGGAGAAGAGGGCGCTGCTGAGAAGGTATGTGACCAAAGAACCACCCCTCACTCTGTGAAAAGATAGTACATATCAGTTGCAGTCTGAGTGACTTAGTTCAATATCATTTTGTGGCTCAAGCATGCCATTAAATTTCTTCCAAGTCTACTGTAATGTCTGGAATCTGGAAAGTAACAGAAGAGGCTACGTGAAGTAGTAACTGACCTGTCTGGGCAGGTTTATTCAATGGATGACACCAAAATAAATTTTTGTATTGTTTTTGTTTGCTGGGGGGGGGGGGGGGGCTGTTCTTTGACCAAAGGCTAGTTTGAAAAGCTGGCAAACCAAAATGTGCTAATTTAACTCTGGCAGACAGCACAGGATCAATAATTTCAGTTTACTTTGTTCATTCCTAGAAAAGCTCTAAAGTCCACTTTCATAGCAGTGACATTGCAACCAAATAGAGTTTACCTAACCTATATGTGTGTGATTAGTGCTCCTAAATGAGGGGCGGGGAAAGAGCAACCCATAAGTGGCTTTTCACCCACTTTTCAGCTTCTGAAGCCCCCTTCTCCTTGAGGACTCTGGATCTCCTCCTTTAAAAGGTCACCCTGTGTTCCAGCCAGGATCATTTACCTCCAAAAGACCCAAACCACCACCACAACAAAGACATAGCTACTGGAGGCACGTTCCCCCCTCTGCCCCTAAATTTTTTTTTTAAAATATATGAAAACACAGTTTATGTCATTCAATTCTTGTGGGTTTTTTTCAGGCTATATGGCCATGTTCTAGAGGCATTTCTCCTGACGTTTCGCCTGCATCTATGGCAAGCATCCTCAGATTTGCCATCCAAAATTTGGATGAATGTTCCATCACTTTTCAGACCCAGAGTCATGCTGTGTCTCATGGGTAGGGAGACCCTTTACCCATGCACCCCATTCTAAATGCTGTGTGATTTGGTTTCTTTGCTATTTGAAGCGAGGATTGGAATTTGACTCCACCCTCACTTTTCTAATATTATATCTCATAAGTAATCTGATGGCAAGTGTAAATCATCCTTAGGAATCATACAGCCCTCCAGATATTGTTGGAATATAGCTCTCAGCATTCTTCACATTGTTCTGGCTACAGCTGCTAGGAATCGTAACCCAGTCACAGCTGGAGAACTATATGGGTCTTACATCTGACACAAATAGACCCAAAAAGCCATATTTTCTGAAAATCTTTAGAAATTTTGTTAAATTTGATCCATTCTCTATTATCAACAGACAGATTTTATAGTAAATATTTAATCTGTCTAGTGATGTCATTTAAAAAAAGAAAGCTCAAATTTAAATTGGTCTGGAGTCTGTGTCTTCTTGTACCACCGTTATTATTTTGCCTGTTCTTGAATGTCTTATAGTAGGAAAATTCATGCCCCCCTCTAAAAAAAGTAAATGAGGTTTCTGAAGTAGAGGTAGGAATGTGATTACTGCAGCAAGGTTTAGTTCACTAAGGCCAGGGGTTCTCAAACTCTGCTCCACAGAGCCCTTGGGGTTGTTGATGTTATTATTTGATACATAACAATATTAGTACACAGCAAACAAGATCACTATTCTGGCTTTTGTATTTGATCACATGGCGGACGCTTCCCAAGTGTGTGGTGTATCGGCGAATAATGCGTGCAGATCCAAATAGGATGGCCTTTTGCAGCGGACAGATGGTTATTTTGTCAGCACCAATTATTTTTAAGTGCAGGCCAAGGTCTTTAGGCACTGCACCCACCTTGACAGGTTTGTTCCATAGTCTTTGCAGTTCTATCTTTAAATCCTCATATTGTGTAAGTATATAAATATAGAACTGCAAACTGTTATTATTGTTATTATAGAGGCTGGATGTCCATCTGTTGGGGGTGCTTTGATTGTGCTTTTCCTGCATGGCAGAAGGGGGTTGGACTGGATGGCCTCGGGGATTTTCCACTAAAATACTGCTAAGTTGGTTCAAATTGTTCTTCATTTTAAATAGTATATTGTTCTTTCTTTCTTTCTTTTTGCACTGTGTGAATTAGTTCACACAAACACTCTCAATTTATCTGCCACTGGCCCAGCCCTTGCCTGATAGATAGATAGATAGATAGATATTTTATAATGTATCATATATAAATATTTCTTTGGTCTTAATGAGAAACCTGTGCTTCAAAAAGGACTTAGCAGCTGAAAAAGTTTGAGAACCCCTGCGCAGAAAATTAATTTTGAACATTTATCTCAGGGATAGGAAACTTGGTCCTCCATGTTTTTTAGGAAGCCCTGGGCATTATGGCCAGAATATTTTGAATTTAAAATCTTGGGAAATTTCAGAATCAAGACTTTTCTCTTTTTGAATCATGGAGCATTCAAGAGGCAGTGTATGATCACTAATCTTAGGAAGCAGGAATGCCATGCTACTCCTTAAAAGTCTAAGAAACAATGCCCCGAATCTCTTCCTGTTTTCAAACTGACAAATAGAATTTTGAAAGTTTAACAGATTTTTAAATGTATGATAAATCCACTAGATTCTGTGTTGAAAATTAGATTCCACATTATAGAAATGGGGCCAGAGATTTATTTCTCTCTCTCTCTGATATAGCAGGCTGTGTTTTTTTATTTTATTTTAGTTGTTAAATCATCATTTGTGTTTATATGTTGGGTTGTTAAATTTCGTTACTATGGATGTATTGTTGTTGTATTTGGGCATTGAATGTTTGCCTTTTATGTTTGTAATCCGGGGAGATAGGGCAGAATATAAATAAAGTATTATTGTTATTGTTGTTATTATTTGAATGTATAATGCCCAAACAGTTTGCTGTTTAAAGATTCCTTCTTTCCAGCGCTATTTTTTTAAATCTGAGGACGGCACAATGCCATCATGGTTTTTTGCTAGTAGGTACAAGTCTCCAACATGTCAGTGTCCAAAGGGCATATTAGATCACAGGTTACCGATTCTGTGGCTTTTGTTTACGGCTATCACTTGCTGCGACAGCTGTGAAGGTCACCCAACAGTGGGAACCCTTGAAATTTGGTCAGTTTTGCAGTCAGATGACTGCATCACCTCCTGGAGCAAACATTCTGGAGCCCTGACCCTCAGTCTGTTTCCTCTAAATTGTGGGCAAAGGTAGCTGCATTTGTTCCCATTCTGAATCCTTGGGTGGGAGGGAGACAAATACATCGTTTTTGAAATGTTTCAAGCTTTTCAGTACTTTCTGTCCCTCTTGTTAGAACATTGAAAGAGGAAGAAAGTGCACTTTGCAAAGATCTGTAAATAACTTATTGGACGGTATAGAAGCTACTAGAGCCGTAGCCTTGAGAAGTATTGGAGCAATCCTTAGATTTTACAACACTGCAATATAATAATAATAATAATAATAATAATAATAATAATAATAATAATAATAATCTTTATTTATATCTCACCACCATTCCCCTAAAGGGACTCAGGGCAGTTTGAAAGGCACTCCAGGGTGCACCTATAAGATACAACAGGTAAAAATGGTACAAAAATATAATACAAGTCACACAACATAATAACAACAACCCTGTCGACACATGTAGCATAAAATCAAAATAACACAATTTTAAAACAACGGTAGATAAAACTAACTGCCATCAATTCACAAGGTGACAAGTGTCAGCTTCATATGGGCCCATTCAGCCTATTCAAGGTCAAAGGCCTGTCTTATGAAACATCCATGTTTTCAGATTAGAACGGAAGGATTGAAGGGTGGGGTCTAATCTAATTTCTTTTGGGAGGATATTCCAGAGCTGAGAGGCCACCACAAAGAAGGCCCTATTTCTCGTCCCCACCAACTGTTCTTGAGATGGTGGTGGGACTGAGAGAAGGGCCTCCCCTGTCGATCTCAGAGCCAATGTTGGTTTGTAGAAAGAAGGACAGCTGGATGTCCCAGCTCTGAAAATATTCCAGGGAAAAGTCATTTCCCAGATTCTGATTGTGCCGCTTTCTGGGATGACTCCCAGGTGGCCATATTGGAAACCCTTCAGAATACTTCAGAAACTGTTAATTCTTCCCTCTGGCTTGCCTTAGTTCCTGCAGCCTTAGTTCAAGCAGAAGTTGGCTTGCCTTCTATTAGATCTCATATACACTTGATTGTATTGAACTACTGCAGAATTTTAAAAGATATTCCAATTAGTATTTTACCCGAATTAAGTTTTAAACATCTATCAAACTGTGTTGTTGAAGGCTTTAATGCCTGGAATCTCTGGGTTGCTGTGAGTTTTCCGGGTTGCATGGCCATGTTTCATAAGCATTTTCTCCTGATGTTTCGCCTACATCTATGGCAGGCATCCTCAGAGGCTGTGAGGTATGTTGGAAACTATGCAAGTGGGGTTTATATCTGGAATGTTCAGGATGGAAGAAATAACTCTTGTCTGTTTGAGGCAGGTGTGAATGTTTCAATTGGCCAACTTGATTAGCATTGATTAGCCTTTCCGTTTCAAGGTCTAGCTGTTTACTGTCTGGGGAATCCTTTGTTGGGAGGTGTTAGCTGCCCCTGATGGATTCATGTCTGGAATTTCTCCGTTTTCAGAATGTTTCTTTATTCACTGTCTTGATTTTAGAGTTCTTTTTAATACTGGTGGCCATATTTTGTTCAGGCTATACTTTGTCCTTACCAAATACAGGGTGAGGCAGCATAACTTTCTTTTTTCAAAACTGAATAAAACCCATTGTATGAATCAGAAATTTTAATTTTTTTATAATGTAGGCGCCTACCTAAAGTTTTGTTTTACATAGTTTTGAAGATCAAATTAGGTAGGTGACGTCCCCCATTCTCCATACACTGAGTAAACCGATTTCTGGCGTTTGTCATGACTTGCCAGCATAGCAGGCATTATGTTGCCAATTTCTTCCTGGATGTTGGTCTTCAAATCTTGTTGGGTCCTTGGACAGTTCACATAAACACGGGATTTCAAAAAACTCCATAGAAAAAAATCACAAGGGGCCAAATCTGGAGAGCGGGCCGGCCACTCCAAATCCGCTCGAAAAGTAGGCCTCAATGGCAAAAGCGCACTCCTCACTGTTCCAACGCATGATGGCAACTGAACCACTAGCGCTCTGCTACGTCTTCAACCGACTGAATGGCGCATATTTTTAAAAAAGGAAGTTATGCTGCCTCACCCTGTACATCAAATTCTGGATTTTCTGGAAGTAATCATTAATTATGTGGCTGCAGCTCTTTGAATAATTGGGATTCATAACACTGTTTTTAGATGCTACAGTAAAGCTGTGGAGCAGTTAATGAATTATGACTCTCAACTCTCCTGGCATTCGGTAATCATAAATGGGGGTCTGGGGAGTTGGGAGTACACTAGCCACAGGCTGCAAACATCTGTATGATAAAATACTACTCCTTCAGTAGTTTTTCACAGGGTTTATTCACACCAAAGCCTCTAACTCTTCTAGCTAATCACAGAGACTTTCAGCCGCCACAACAAGCTGGCTCAGAAGGCACAGAATGAGAAGAAGGCCCGTCAAGAGGCGGAGCAGAGAGAAAAAGCAGAACGTGCTGCTAAACTTGCCAAGGAAAAAAAGCAAGAAGATAGTGAGCCACGAATTAAGGAGCTGACAGATGAAGAGGCAGAAAGGTTGCAGCTGGAAATTGATCAGGTAGGACTTTCATTTGTTAAATCTGGTGAGAAGTTCAAGTGGCATTGTTTTTCAATAGGTTGCTTCCAACTTGATTGAAGACTGCATTTCAAGAAAGCCTCCGTTTGTATAAATAATCATTTTCTGTCTTAGTGTATCACTTATCCATTCTCTTAACTGCATTTATTGTACTTTCCCATTCTTTATGCACAAACTGTACCTGAAAATTCCCCACCCTAACATTCCAGTTGGGTTGATTCATTTTTATCACCTGTGTTGAACATGAAAAATGGAGAAGGCTTAATAGTAAATGAACATGGGCTGTTTCTAGCTCTTAATTCAAATTTATCGACATGTTCATCTACATGTGTCTTCTTTTGAAACAGAAAAAAGAGAAAAAAGACGATGAGGCCCAGAGTATCCCAGTTGAACCTTCCAAGAATTCAGTGGAAACACCAGAGTCTAACAAGCAGGTAATGTCCTCTTAGAAGTTTTTGAAGATGTAAACATGTATTGCTTCCCATATTGAAATTGCATTTACTTACTTACTTAGGCGATCCCTCGTAGCCCGAGGATGAAGCTCCTCCAAATGCAGTGTCTTGGCTGGCAGTAGGTCCCTAGGTAGATATGGAGTCCTATTCTTGATCCGCATGTTCTCCCACAGTGAGGACATTGGTTTGCAGGTGGAATGTGATCCCGGTCAGGGTTTGCTTGATGCGCCTTCCTTTTGGCATGTTTCGCCCTTTCACCCTCCATTCGTGCCTCTTTGAATTCTGCAGCACTGCTGGTCACAGCTGACCTCCAGTTAGAGTGCTCAAGGGCCAGGGCTTCCCAATTCTTGGTGTCTATGCCACAGCTTTAAGGTTGGCTTTAGGCCCATCTTTAAATCACTTTTCCTGTCCACCAATATTACATTTTCCGTTCTTGAGTTCGGAGTATAGTAACTGCTTTGAGAGACAGTGATTGGGCATTCAGACAATGTAGCATTCAGTCCAGTGGAGTTGATAGAGTAGGAACATCGCTTCAATGCTGGTGGTCTTTGCTTCTTTCAGCACGCTGACATTTGTCTGCCTGTCTTCCCAAGAGATTTGCAGGATTTTTCGGAGGCAATGCTGATGGAATTGTTCTAGGAGTTGAGTGCGACATCTGTAGACAGTTCACATTTTGCAGGCCTAAAGCAGGGTTGGGAGGACAATAGCTCTATAAACAAGCACCTTGGTATCCCTACGGATGTCCCGGTCCTCAAACACTCTCTGCTTCATTCGGAAAAATGCTGCACATGCAGAGCTCAGGCGGTGTTGTATTTCAGTGTCATTGTTGACTTTTGTTGAGAGGTGGCTGTCAAGGTAGCAGAAATGGTCAATATTTTATAATGTTACACCATTAAGCTGTATTTCTGGCATTGCAGAGGGATTGACTGGTGACTGCTGAAAGAGCACTTTGGTTTTCTCGATGTTCAATGAGAGGCCGAGCTTCTCGTATGCTTCTGCAAAGGTGTTTAGAGTGGCTTGTATGTCTTCTTTCATTGCTGTGACGTGGTTCTTGTGGATGATACCTATAACATGGTTACCAGAATATGTGAAATCACAGGTTTTCTGTAATTATAATAAAGCCTGTTAACCATAAAACATACAAATAAGGCATAAAGTTTAAATTGAAAAAAACCCACCAGAGAGATTTCCAGAAGGAAAGAAGCTTGCCTGAGATTCTGGAGAGCTTCTGCTACTCACTGATACTGATGGTCAAATGAACTTAGTAAAAGGCAGCTTCCTGTGTTATACAATAAGCTTTCATGGGCTGTATTTGAAATGTTAATTCTTAGCATATGCATGTGACTGCAAGTGTGAATAAGCAGCGAGGGCACAAGAATATGAAATACTCCATTTATTTATGCAATCTAAATAATTTTGTATATCAGGATAAAACATCAAGCTTCAGCAGTGGGATCCACCATATGTACTCATGTCTAAGTTTAGGGCAAGTTTTGGTGCCAAAATTATGGATTTTGATGTGACCCACGGTTAAGCCAAGGGTCATTCCACAAAGTGTCAGTTCCACCTGAGAGGGGACCGCAGAGGAGGTCAGAGCTGTTGCCATGCTGCTCAGAGCAGGACAAGGTTACTTGATTTCCACTGACATGTGCATAAGTCAGCCCAGGTTTGTTGGGTCCATTTCTTGACTTGTACTTGAGTGTATGCAACAATCCATGAAAATATTTTGTCATAAATTGATTAAATGTTCAGTCTCTCTGTTGAGATTTCAAATATATGTTTCAGGCAGTTTAAACTATACAGTCAGCCATTATTATTATCATCATCATCATCATCATCTCTATTTATATCCTGTCTTTCTCTCCATGGGGACTCAAGGCAGCTAACATCTATCCACACTAAACAGTTTACAAAGAGCAATACAAAAGTTAAAAAAATAATTAATAAAATCAGATTAAAATACAGCAAATACATTAAAATGGCCTTTAAAACTCATATCCCCACCAAGTCCACACACCCTCCCTCCCCACAGCCTCCCCCAAAAGCCTGTTGGCACAGGAAATGTCTTGACCTGCTTGTGGAAGGTCAGCAGGGATGGGGCCATTCTGGTTTCTCTTGGAGGGGAGTTCCACAGCCTGGGAGCAGTCAAGTTATTTATTTATTTGTTTGTTTATTATTTACCACATTTATACCCGACTCTTCTCACCCCAAAGGGGACTCAGAGCGGCTTTACAGTAGGCAACAATGCGATGCCGCACAAATACATACAAATAATAAGCAAATACATTAAAATCCAAAAAGTTAAAAACATAAAAAAATTAGACATTAAAATAGTTCATTGAAACCACACAGTCCAAAATTGTAATCTAGAGCCATTCCATTCGTCATTGCAATATTTCGTATTCACTTATTGCACTGTTTGGAAATTACTGACCAAAGGCTTGGTCCCATAGCCATGTTTTTAGTCTTTTTCCTGAAGGGAGCCTTCTATAGCCATGGATTCTGCATCCACAAATTCAATCATCCACAGATTGAAAACTTTTTTTTAAAGAAAATTAAAAAGCAACCTTCACTTAGACATTTTACTATGCCATTGTGTATAATAATCCATAGATGTTGGTCACCCATAGATTTTGGTATGCATGGAGTGTGGATACCCCTGCCTGGAACCAAGCTCTAGTGCAGTGGTTCTCAACCTGTGGATCCCCAGATGTTTTGGCCTTCAACTCCCAGAAATCCTAACAGCTGGTAAACTGGCTGGGATTTCAGGGAATTGTAGGCCAAAACACCTGGGGACCCAGAGGTTGAGCATCACTGCCCTAGTGAATAACAAAGGCTCACTGTATATGCAGAACAGTTGAACCACTCTTATTCAAGTAATGTAGCCGACAGGAAAAATCCCCCTATGTACTTATTAAGCTTGATAAAAGTTGAATCTGTGTGAAGACTGTATATGCTATGATTGTGTTTCATTAGGATACAGATGAGGAAGAAGAAGATGAGAAAGACAAAGGCAAGCTTAAACCAAATTCTGGGAATGGAGCAGACCTTCCAAACTATAGGTGGACACAGACCCTCTCTGAACTAGATGTAAGTACAGTCTTTGATTAGAATTTGAGAAAGTTTTTTTTTTTCATTAAAGTGGCTTGTATCCATTTGTGGCTAGGTTGAATCTATTAAATAAGGAAGCAGAGTCGGGATCCCTTTGCAGTTTAGCATCATAGAAAGAAGGTGAAGACCACTGGGAGTTAGTCTTCTTTGTTTTTCATCTTGTTAAGTTGCAGCTTCACATGGTACACATTTTTGTCAATTTTTTTAAAAAAAAATTAGGTATTTTTAATTACAAAAATGTGAGTCAAGGACTAAATGGATACAATAACTCAGCAAAAGCTGCAGTTCAATATAAGCAGATGTGCCTGTAGCTTAGTAGCCATCAGTCTTAGGGAGCCCTCAGTGTTAGCAGACCTCAGTGAGGGAGGCCTCAGTGGGAGAAAGGTCTCAGTCTGTGAGAGATCTCTGTGGGAGAAGGCTTCAGTATGAGATGGCCTCAGTATTAGTATAAGTAGGCCTGGTGTGAGAAGCCCCAGGTTGAAGGCCATCATGGGTGAAGCTCCAATGTGTGAAGGCTGCTGTGTGTAAAAAAGCTACTGTGTGAAGCTCCTGTGTAAGTTTGGTGTGAGGAGAAGCTCTGAGAGAGTAAATCTTTTTATCTGCATGAGAAAGAAGCCCAGCGTGGAAGCAAAGAAGGAAGTATAAAGAATAATAAGTTACTCTGCTGTGCATTTATGGAGAGGGTCTTTTGTTAATAAGGCCACTTGCCCAACAATTTTGGCCACAGAAAGCAAATCCAAAGGATTTGACATTTTTGTGGTGCTCAATATCTCCATGGATCAACCCCCCCCCCCCCCCCCCCCCCCCCCCCAATACTTCTGAGCTCCAAATTATGACATAATGACCTCTAGGGCTGGGGGAAACATTTTTTTAAAAAGTGAAATAGTAAAATAACGTAATAATTTCAGTAAAATAATGTAATAATTTCAGGTCTCCAAGATGTTCTTTGGGGACAATATGTATATGCCAGTCTCCTAGCCTTCTGTGGTTGCCCATTCATGATTTAGGGTATAATAGATCATCACAATGATCTGCACATCATCTGTAACAGAGAGGTTTCTATGATAATTCAATACTTTCCTTTCTTTTGCTTCCTCTGTTGTTTAGCTGGCTGTCCCAATCCAAGTGAACTTCAGGCTGAAGGGGAGAGATGTGTTAGTCGATATACAGCGACGGCACCTGAAGGTGGGATTGAAGGGCCAGCCACCTGTGATTGATGCACCCTTGTTCAATGAGGTGAAAGTGGAGGAGAGCTCATGGCTGATCGAGGATGGGAAAATAGTCACCGTGCACTTGGAGAAGGTAACAACAAAGCATTTTGTGCCTAGGTTTGTAGCTAGGTTTGCTAGAGTTTGAACTGCTAGTAGTAATATCACTTGGAGAGAGGAGCTTCCAGAATGAGACAGTAGATTGCTGTGAGTTTTCTGGGCTGTATGGCCATGTTCCAGAAGCATTCTCTCCTGACGTTTAGCCCACATCTATGGCAGGCATCCTCAGAGGTTGTGGGGTATATTGGAAACTAAGCAAGGGAGGTTGATATATCAGTGAAATGTCCAGGGTGGGAGAAAGAACTCTTGCCTGTTGGAGGCAAGTGTGAATGTTGCAGTTGGCCACCTTTAGCAGCATTGAATGGCCTTGCAGCTTCAAAGCCTGGCTGCTTCCTTCCTGGTATCCTTTGTTGGTTGGTGTTAACTGGCCTTGATTGTTTCATGTCTGAAATTCCCCTGTTTTCAAAGTGTTCTTCTTTATTTACTGTCCTGATTTTAGAGTTTTTTTAAATACTGGTAGCCAGATTGTGGTCATTTTAATGGTTTCTTCCTTTCTGTTGAAATTGTCCGCATGCTTGTGGATTTCAGTAGCTTCTCTGTGTGGTCTGACATATTAGAGTGGTTCAGCATTTCTGTGTTCTCCTGCTTTTAAGTATAATGGGTTATCTTACTGTGATTAGAAAGTGAGTTACATGTCAATCTTTACTCACTAATAAATATAAAATGCTAAATTCCTAATGCACTCATTCCTTTCATAGAAGTTGCTGTTACTGTGAAATCCTTAATTGTCTTTCCTTTAGATCAACAAGATGGAGTGGTGGAACAAGTTAGTTCAAACAGACCCTGAGATTAACACCAAGAAAATTAACCCAGAGAACTCCAAAGTAAGTGCTTCTTTTTAAATGAAATTTTAACAGGATGGTTAACAACATCTTGTCCTTTTATTTTACAAACTTAAGAACTTATCAAGAGATTTAGTTATCTGGCTGAAGCAGGTACATTGCCAAAGTGTTAAAAATAAGTATACCATATATACTCTTATATAAACTGAGTTTTTCAGCCCTTTTTTAAGACTGAAAAAGACCCCCCTCGGCTTATACTCGAGTCAAGGTTATTTATTATTTTACTCTATTATTATTATTACATTTATTATTTTACTTTGTTATTATTATTACATTATTTTACTTGATTTATTACTGTTATTACATTTATTATTTTACTCTTATTACATTTATTTTACTCTGTTATTACATTTATTATTTTACTTTATTATTATTATTGGAAGGATACGTAAGCACATTTACATTGAAGAAGGTTAGAATAATGGTTTAATTAGGGTTGGACAGTCTTATCTTAAATTACAGTTTTATGTAAATACTCAAAAACATTTAACCTACGTATGCCTCAATTAATGTAATTTCATTAGTTTCTATTTTTATTTTGAAATTGACCAACAGCTTCTGCATTTCCCACTCTCACCTTATACTTGAGTCAATACATTTTCCCAGTTTTTTTGTGGTAAAATTAGGTGCCTTTGTTTATATTTGGGTCAGCTTATACTTGAGTATATACGGTAATCCTTAATTCAGGGGGTGTTTGCAAAGGAGACACAGAGTCCCTTTTTATATGATACTAGCTTGGGGACCTGGCAGTGGCCAGATTAGTTGATAAAGGCATTGTTTGTTTTGCGAAGTTTGGTAATATCAGTCTGGTAATGTGTAATGATATTTATAAGAAAAAAACAGTCTTTCCTTTTTTTATATATAAAAATTTCCCATTAGAAAATGCATAAGGATGTGGGTGAACTACAGTTCCTAGAATTGTGGGTCAATCCTTCCCAAACCTTGCCATTATTCAAAGTTGGCCATGTTGGGTCTCTGTGCCATGTTTGGTCCAGATCCAACATCAGCTGGGTTTAGTGATATCTTGATAAGTGTGAACTACAACTCCCAGATTCCTAGGGCAATCACCCCCAAACCCTGCCAGTATGCACAGTTGGCCATGTTGACTCTGTGTGCCAAGTTTGGTCCAGATCCATTGTTGGCTGGGTTCAGTGCTCTCTGAATAAGGGTGAACTATAACTCCCTGATTCCCAGGGCAACCACCCCCAAACTCCTCCAGTCTGTTCAGTTGCTGATCAATTCCTCTGTGTTTACTTTGGAAAGGGTTAAGGGAGAAAGGCAGTGGGCGGAGTCATGCAAATTCCACACGAGGAACCTTGAGATGCCTACCTGTGGTGGAGAAAACACATCAAATCTATGATGACATTCTCCCCGAATGAAAGCATTTCTTGGTGGTGGGCCATAGTGTTTGGGAAGGACATTGGCAGGCCTTGGCCTACATGTTCATGGCGCTCACTATAACCTGCAATGTCTGTTGAGGGAGTGCCTTTGGAGGCTTCTCAGCACTTGGAACTATAGCCTGTTTGTGGAGGCAGAAGGCTGTGTTTGTAAGTGGACACCTCCGTCACATAAATACATAGACATTTTTCACTTTTATTATGTGTATAGATTACTGGATACTGCGGGCAAGGGATGTCTTGCCTTCATCAGGGATTTAAGAAGCATCTACACTGCCATAGAATGCCACTTCAGAATGCAGATTACCTGCATTGAATTGGATTACATGGCAATGTAGACTGATATAATCCAGTTCAATGCATTTAATCTGCATTCTGAAACTGCATTCTATGGCAGTGTAGATACTTCCTGAGCAAGTGCTGGCTGCTTAATCTCAAACCTGTGGTGGGAGATCTTCCATAGAGGTTGTCAGTGGCTAAAAAGACCAATGAGCAAGGAAAGAATAGAGCAGGAAAGGGTTTCAGCTATGCTGGAAACCACATTATTTTGTTATTGATGGTAGTCTTTTTGCTGTTGGTATTTTTATAATCCTGTTTCAAAAGGTGCAGCCATAAATAAATAAATTAATTCAAGGCCCAGCGTACCTGTCCAAACGTATCTCCTTCTACATCTCACCTCGGAGCTTAAGATAATAATCATCATCATCTTTATTTCTACCCCGCCACCATCTCCCTGATGGGGACTCGGAGCGGCTTACATGGGGCCAAGCCCGGCCAACATAATACAGCAGTAAAATCAAAGCATATACAGCAGACAACAACAACATTATCCAAATGACATTAATAATAATAATAATAATAATAATAATAATAATAATAATAATTCCAATAGACACAATCACAATAGAGATGACAATGGGTGGGCCACATATTCTGAATAAAAACAACTAACAGACTATGATGAGATAAAATAGGAGCAGGACGTTTAAATGGAACTCATAAAACACACAGCGTTGTGGGACAGAACATCCTATTTGGAGGGCACGAACTCCATTAGCCGAAAAACTTTGAGGGGGTGTAAAATATGCTGTGCACCTACTCGCCAAAAGTGCAGCAGAAAAGCCAGGTTTTGAGGTTCTTTTTAAATATTTCCAGTGAAGGGGCTTTTCCTGATCTCCCCAGGTAAAGAGTTCCAAAGTCGGGGGGCCACAGAGGTGAAGGCTTTCTCCCTTGTGCCCACAAGACGAGCTTGTGAGATTGGTAGAGGCGAAAGGAGGACCTCCCCTGAGGAACGAAGGGTCCGGGTTGGTACGTGGAGTGAGATCCTCTGGGGAGGCCCTGCTCTCAGCCCCGCCTTTGTCTCAAACACATTTGGCGGGGACGAGGGACAGGGCCTTTTTGGTGATAGCCCCCTGCCTGTGGAATATGTTTCCCGGGGAAATTAGATCATTGTCATCCCTCCTCACCTTCAGAAAGAAGGTAAAATCATGGTTGTGGGACCAGGCCTTCGGGCAATCAGGTTAAAGGACAATGGATAATATTTGACTATGGCTTGGAAGTGGATTTGGATAAGTGAAGCGGAGTACTCATTAGTATATGGCTAGATAAATAGCCACCAGACTGGCAATAGCTAAATGGATCGTAAGTATACTGTTTAATTTTTATTTTGGTTTTAATTGTTATTTTTGCTATTTGTATTTTATGAAGCGGCATTGAATTGTTGCCAATTGTAAGCCTCCCTGGGTCACCCTAGGGGTTGAGAAGGGCGGGGTAAAAATGTTATAAATAAATAAATAAAATAGGATGTATATTTCTTAGATGCATAAATGAATAAACACGCAGTTTCTTGTTCTCATTTTTTAAGCTCTCAGACTTGGACAGTGAGACACGCAGCATGGTGGAGAAAATGATGTACGATCAGCGTCAGAAGTCCATGGGTCTCCCCACATCAGATGAGCAAAAAAAGCAGGACATATTGAAAAAGTGAGTAGAGTCCATTTGTGGGCGCCTTGAAATATGCGATAGAGAAGAGGATCACAAATGACCCTTGTCCTTATTACAGGTTTGACTGTAGGTTGGATCCTGCCCTTCAGCGCGGCAAGTAGCAACGTGCTGTCGGGACTCAGGAGCCTGGTAGTGCCATCTATTCCTGAACCATGACATGGTCTTTCTGGTTCTTAATCTCCTTTTGCCTCAATTCAAGATAACATGACTTCCTCCCCGCCTCTCTGTCAAATGTCGGGGTTACTAGACAGCCATACTGTTATCGCTTTATTGCCCTGCTTGGCAAAAAGTGTGCGTAGAAGCTTCTGTGAGTAATTCCCTTTCTAGGGCCGCACAGGGTGACGCTCCCTGTTCTCAGGTTAGCACCTGAGTCATTAAGGGCACACGGCTACCTTTCCTCCATTCTGAATAGCTTTGATGGTGGTAGGGGAAATGATGCAAGGGGAGTGGGTTTTTCTAGTATCCAGAGACCAATTTAATGTCTACAGATACAAATCCCACTTCCGATAACTCACTGCTTAAAGCCCTTCAGTGGGTGAGCTGAAATATAGCACCATCCTCTGATACTTACCAAGTTTTAAACATTGCACGATTTTCACCGTGAATCCTCTTTCTGCTCTACTGCTGCAAGAAATTGAGAGAAAGCTGATCTCATTTTTGGGCTACTAAATGGCAGATATTAATACGCTATTTAGCTCTGACACTTAACTCTTTGCATATTCTGTTGAACACAACACTTCACATGCACCGCCTCCCCCTCAAAAAAGGGGGAGTGAATCGTTCGTATGCATTTCTCTTTTTTTTAAATAGGTGTGTTTTATCAGACTGAAGGCCTATCTAGTGCAACATTGTATTTCCTTGAATGGCTAACCAGATGCATTTGGAAAGCCCAGAAACTAAACATGAGTGCAATAGGATAACCCATTTTTGTTTTCAGGCTGCCAGCTTACACAAATAGGTTGCCTTTGGTACTGAAGATGGTACAGCCATCATAATTGATACATTTTTTAATACCTAACATATTCATGTTGATGGTTGTCATTGTCACTAGAAATTCAATGTGCAGATTTGACAAATATGAATTTAATATGATGTGTGGAAATGAATGGAAGGATGTATGAATGGAATTAATAATTTTGGGGAAAAAAAGGTAAAGGTAGTCCCCTGACATTAAGTCCAGTCATGTCTGACTCTGGGGTGTGGTGCTCATCTCCATTTCTAAGCCGAAGAGCCAGCGTTGTCCGTAGACACCTCCAAGGTCATGTGGCCAGCATGACCGCATGGAGCGCCATTACCTTCCCGCCGGAGCGGTACCTATTGATCTACTCACATTTGCATGTTTTCGAACTGCTAGGTTGGCAGAAGCTAGGGCTGACAGCGGAAGCTCACGCCGCTCCCCGGAATCGAACCTGCGACCTCTCGATCAACAAGCTCAGCAGCTCAGTGCTTTAACCCACTGTGCCACCAGTATAATATTAAGGCCTGCAATGACTAACTACCTACTTGCTGGAACTGTGATCAAAACCTGCTAATAAGAATTGATAAGAACTGTGACAATGGTTCTTTCAAGTTAAGGAAATGTTTGCAACATTCCTTATGTTAAGAAGAAAGTCAACACAAGCCTTGTGTTTGTCAACACCAATCAAGCAGAGTTAACATCTGGCCAGGAAACTGTGATGGATCCAGGATGGAAGACGTCTATCGTTAATTTACAACTTTGGGACTACATCAACAGAATATTCCTATAAAAGACGCAGTCTAATAATGCTCAAATTGTGACCGACCTGAGGAGTCTGGTTCACCCACTATGCTCTGCTCCATGGGAAGGAGAGAGATAGTGTACCTATGGATAGTGGCAGATTTGTACGGGAGCAGTCTGGTCCCTTTGGGGCTTCTTCCTCAAGGGAAGAGGAAGAAGTGTGCTTTTGGAGTCTTAGATTTTGTGCAGGGAGTCAGGTTCTGCTGTATGGAAAAGAGAGATCTGGTCCTTGGCTATGCTCTGCTCCATGGGAAGGAGAGAGATAGTGTACCTATGGATAGTGGCCGATTTGCACGGGAGCAGTCTGGTCCCTTTGGGGCTTCTTCCTCAAGGGAAGAGGAAGAAGTGTGCTTTTGGAGTCTTAGATTTTGTGCAGGGAGTCAGGTTCTGCTGTATGGAAAAGAGAGATCTGGTCCTTGGCATTGTTCTTAGGGAAGAAATTTTGGCATTTCAGCGTTTTGAAGTTTTGGCGTTATGGAAGTTATGGAACTATACATTGGCAGGCTGCAGGGAAGCAGGGTCTGGCCTGACAGGTGCTTCTCCAAGGAGGGAGAAAATGATATGGTAATATTTGGATGCATGTGGATGAATGCATGTACATGTGTGTGAATGTTGAGTGAAAATGTAATTCCCCTTTGTTTGTTAACCAATGTAATTGTAAATCCAATGTAGTTGCATAGAATCTGTATGTCTAATGTCATTCTTTGTCTAAATGTTTTCTGTAATCTGATATACCTTCTCACACTGGAAATTGCAATAAAAAGAACCTATGCTTCAAAGTTATTGGAAAGTCATTCAGGACATAATGATATCTTGTGGAAATACATTCCATTTGGTTGCTGTGAGTTTTCTGGGCTGTATGGCCATGTTTCAGAGGCTGTAAGGTCTGTTGGAAACCAGACAAGTGAGGTTTATATATATGTGGAATATACAGGGTGGGAGAAAAAACTGTTTGAGGCAAATGTGAATGCTGCAAATGATCGCCTTGATTAGCATTGAATGGCCTTGCAGCTTCAAGGCCTGGCTGAGTTCTGCCTGGGGGAATCTTTTGTTGGGAGGCGTTAACTGGCCCTGATTGATTTTTGTCTGGAATTCTCCTCTTTTGGGGTGTTGCTCTTTACTTACTGTCCTGATTTTTGACTTTTACTGGTAGCCAGATTTTGTTCGTTTTCACGGTTTCCTCCTTTCTGTTGAAATTGTCCACATGCTTGTGGATGTCAATGGATTCTCTGTGTAGTCTGATATGGTAGTTGTTAGAGTGGTCCAGCATTTCTGTGTTCTCCAATAATATGCTGTATCCAAGTTGGTTCATCAGATGCTCTGCTATGGCTGACTTCTCTGGTTGAATCAGTCTGCAGTGCCTTTCATGTTCCTTGATTTGTATGTGGGCAATGCTGCATTTGGGGGTCCCTGTGTAGACTTGTCCACAGCTGCATGATATACAGTAGACTCCTGCAGCGGTGAGAGGATCCCTCTTGTTCTTTACTGAACATAGCATTTGTTGAATTTTCTTAGTGGGTCTGTAAATAGTTTGCAGGTTGTGCTTCTTCATCAGCTTCCCTATGCAGTCAGTGGTTCCCTTGCTGTATGGTAAGAACACTTTTCCTCTGGGTGGGTCTCTGTCTTGACTCTCGTGGCTTGTTCTCGGTCTTGCAGATCTTCTGATGTCTGTGGTGGAGTCTCCATCAACTTGTAGAGCCCAGTTGAGGGGGTTCATTTCACCTTGGAGAAGGTGGGCTTCACAGATTCTTTTTGCACGGTCTGGGCTTTAATTGTGCTTCTTTTTTTACTTGGGTGATGGTTGGAGTTTTTATGTAGGTATCTATCAGTGTGTGTAGGTTTCTATAAACTGTGTGGCCCAATTGTTGATCTGGTTTGCGGATGACTAGGACATCTAGAAATTGCAGTTTTCCTTAATTTTCTTTTTCCATGGTGAATTGGATGTTTGGGTGGATGCTGCTAAGTTATTGGCTCCAAATGGTGAAGATGTCATTCACATATCTGAATCATGTGGTGGGCTTTTTTGTTGCTGTTTCCAGGGTTTGTTTTTCAAAGTGTTCCATGTAGAAATTTGCTATGACTGGTCTGAGAGGACTTCCCATAGCTACTCCATCTTTCTGTTCATAGAATTCATTGTCTCACTGGAAGTAGTTTGGGTGCAGCAATGGTGAAACAGGCTGTGACGTCTTCAGGGAAATTCTAGTTGATTACTGCAATGGTTTCTGCTACCGGGACCTTGGTAAATAGAGACATCACATTGAAGCTGATCACTTTGTCATTAGTGTTGAGCTTGAGGTTGCTGATTTTTTCTATGAAGTGAGCTGAGTCCTTGATGTAGTACGTAGTGAGCCCAAAATGGGGTTGTAGCTGTGCAGAAAGAAATTTTGCCAAGTCGTATGTGGGGGATCCAATAGCACTCATGATGGCTCTGAGTGGGGTAGAGTTTTTATGGATTTTTGGGAGTCTGTTTACAGTTGCAAGGCTATTCAGTGCTAATCAAGGTGATCAATTGCAGCATTCACACTTACCCCCAACAGGCAAGAGTTCTTTCTCCCACCCTGGACATTCCACAGATATATAAACCCTACTTTCCTAGTTTCCAACAGACCTCACAACCTCTGAGGATGCCTGCCATAGAAGTAGACAAAATGTAAGGAGAGAATGCTTCTGGAACATGGCTATACAGCCCGGAAAACTCACATCAAACCAGTGATTCCTGCCATGCAAACCTTCGAGGATACATTCCATTTAACTACCCCCCCCCCCCCCCCCCCCTTACATTTAACTACCATATGTAAAGACATACATCAGATTCTTCTGTCCTGAATCTTTTTTCATTTAGCCTAGCTGGATGACTCTATATTTTGATATTTAGAGAGAGAAAAAGAAATCTTTTCCTTTTTCTGTGTCCATTATTTTCAATATCTCTGTTGCACCTTATCACATATCTTGTTTTGACCGAATATTAATAATAATAAAGATATTAAATGTAATATAATAATAATAAAGTAAAATCATGTAAATGTAATAATAATAATAATTAACAATAGAGTAAAATGATACATGTAATAAAAATAATAACAGTAAAATAATAAATAACCTTGATGCGAGTATAAGCCGTGGGGGGCTTTTTCAGCATAAAAAGTGCTAAAAACTTGGCTTATAGTCGAGTATTTATGGTACTTTTTTAAGACAGGTGCTACGTGTCTGACCTGGAGCTAAGCGTTCCCAAGGGCATATTTGATTAATTTGCCATTACTTGTTTACAGCTGTAGTGTATCGTATTGGGGCAATTACTGATATTATTAATGAGAGAGTTAATGTGGCTTCATAGGCAGTGACCTCAACAGAACTACACAGATAGCAGGGAAGCCTGAGACTTTACACTATAGGTGGGAGATTGTTCTGCAGTAGGGTTTTATGCAACATGCAAAAGATATAGCATTAAAGTATGAAATCTGTCACCTTTCAAACTTAGAAACCTTTTTTTCTGGTAGGAGCCAGATAAAATCACTTCATTGGCAGAATTTCCCTTATGAACCCCTCACTTAACTTTTTTGTTTGTATGAAGTGCCTTCAGAATTAGTAATTCAATTTCTTTGGACATATTTCTATAATTAAAGATATTTCTATCTTACCTTATTATAGAACATCAGCCAATGAAAACACCATCTAATGCAATCAATAAAATCTATATAAATAAAAATGTAATGTTCGCTTGTGGGATTAACATAATTCAAAAACCACTGGACGAATTGACACCAAATTTGGACACAAGACACCTATCAGGCCAACAAGTGACCATCACTCATAAAAACACTGAAAAACACAGAAGAAGGGACTTAAAAAGCCAAAAAACAAAATTTGCATGACAACACATGAACAAAACCACACACAAACACACATATACACAAATATATACACACACAAAACACATATACATAGACTTGGCCACAGCAACGCGTGGCAGGGGACAGCTAGTAAGAACTAAAGCAGATTTAAGCAAAAAAAAGAAAAGAAAGAAAAGAAAAAAAGAAAACTACTACAAAGCATCTAGAAATCAGATTATATGGTAGGATATAAATCCTATAAATGATCACATTGTTCTTTTTCCAAAGGCCTGTGCTTGCATATGTAAAAACAAAAAACAGATGTATTGTATATACTCGAGTATAAGCCGAGTTTTTCAGCCCTTTTTTAAGGCTGAAAAAGCTCCCCTCGACTTACACTCGAGTCAAAGTTATTTATTATTTTACTGGGTTATTATTATTATTATTACATTTATTATTTTTCTCTGTTATTATTACCTTTATTATTTTACTAGGATGAATTTCTCCTCAAATGAAAGCATTCCTTGGGTGGTGGGCCGTAGTCTTTGGGGAGGACATTGGCAGCATTTGTGCTACATGTTAATTGCACTTGCTGTAATCTGCAATTGAGGGAGGGCCTTTGGAGTATAGCCTGTTTGTGGAGGCGAGAGGTTGTCTGTTGTGGAGGCGAGAGGTTGCCCGTACCTTGGGAAGCCTGACTTGCCCACGGTAGTCCATGCTCTAGTCACATCCCGTTTAGACTACTGCAATGCTCTCTACGTGGGGTTGCCTCTGAAGACTGCTCGGAAGCTTCAAATGGTCCAACGATCGGCAGCCAGGATGCTAACAGGAGCGGCACTCAGGGAGCACACCACTCCACTGCTGCGCCAGCTCCACTGGCTGCCAATTTGCTACCGGGCACAATTCAAAGTGCTGGCTTTAGCCTTTAAAGCCCTAAATGGTTCTGGCCTGACCTACCTGTCCGAATGCGTCTCCTCCTATGAACCAGTTAGGAGATTAAGATCGTCTGGGGAGGCCCTGCTCTCAATCCCGCCGGCTTCACAAGCACGCCTGGCGGGGACGAGAGACAGGGCCTTCTCAGTGGTGGCCCCTCGGCTGTGGAACGCCCTTCCTGTAGATATTAGATCGACCCCACTCCTTGCTAGCATTCCGGAGGAAAGTAAAGACCTGGCTGTTTGAACAGGCATTCGACTAAGCAGTGTGATTGATTGACTGAACACGGAATATCGGATAACGAGTTTGGATTCTGATTTCATTTATGAGACCTGATGGATTTGTTATATTGATGTAGTGATGTATTGATATTGATGTTTAATTATTTATGATGCTATTGCTTTTAAATGCTTAATGATTTTGTATTGTGTATACCTAAATTCTTGTAAACCGCTCTGAGTCGCCTAAGGGCTAAGAAGAGCGGTATACAAATAAAGTAAATAAAATAAATAAATAAATAAGTAGACACCTCTGCCACATACAGATTTTTCACATTTATTATGTTTATAGATTACTAGATATTGTGGGCAAGGGATGTCTTGCCTTCATCAGGGATTGAAGCCTCGGCTTATATTTGGGTTGGTTTATACTTGAGTATATATGGTACTTATTCCCCAGAATAAAAGAGCTGGTAACTGTTCTGAGAAGGACGTGAATTGACTTTCAAGTATTCATGGTATAAGCTTGCTGTATCTCCCTAGCCATCTCAAGTAATGTGAATTTCTCTTCTTCTCTTAGGTTCATGGAACAACATCCAGAAATGGATTTCTCCAAAGCAAAATTCAACTAATGTGGTTTCTACCCTGACCCCTTTTTTTTCTCTCCCTCTCTCTCCTTTCCCTTTCTCCCAACGACTTTTAAAGAAAAATATTCCTGAACAGGACATTATGTCCCTTTCTTTGAGATGCTGTGAATGTTCACACTATCTTCAGAGTGAGCTTTCCATATAAGAAACGCAGTGCTGTTTAATCCATGTTGCCACCTGGAATTTCTAGCAGCGCTATTTATCAGCCTGCTTTGCTTTTTTTTTTTTTTGTAGGAAAAGTTATGTCAGGGAATTAGAAACGAAGCAAAGGGGGATTCATTGTAGAAATTCTGTGTTTCCCTTGCATCTATATTATTCTGACAGGTTTAGGATGAGATTTGGTTGTTTCGAGCATTGATGATGCCAGGCTTGCTCATCTGCTGCTCTTTCAGCCCCTGCTTTTGAATTGAGAACTGGGCATCCCTTCCTCAAACACCCAATCATCATTCCCTCCAGCATTCCTGCACCAAACTAAGTAAGCCCTGTCAATGTAACCTCAGTGCAGGATCTCTAAAAGTTGTTTCACTGGCAGATGAGCCTGTGAGTGTCTCATGCTTGTTCTAACCTCCCAAAAGTGATGCTGTTTAAGAACAACATCTCCTTTGTTTGCACAGGTTCTTATGTGGACATTAATGTGTAAGCACAGAAAGGAGTATTGTGAAGAATACTTCTATCTGCTTGTCAGTACTTCTACAAACATCCAAATTTACATGATTGAGATACTAAATACACATAATTAACAATTTGGCTAGATTGAAATTAGAGGGCTGTTCAGATCAGTCACATCAGAATCTGGTATATTCCTACTTTTATCAGCTCTGTCTTCAACTGCTACTGCCAAGCCCTGTTGTAATAATTTCAGATCTTCCGTGGTATATATCAATCCAAAACACTAGACGGTTGAATTGCAGTACTGTTTCTGCCTTAGAGAACCATTTTTAGATGTAGATAGGGCTGCTAAATGTCTGAATATTTCAAGGAGGTTGACTTAGACCAGAGGTCTCAAACTTGTGGCCCTCCAGGTGTTTTGGCCCCCAACTTCCAGAAACCCCTATTGCCACCCTGTCCAACAGCCAGGAATTCTGGGAGCTGAAGTCCAAAACAGCTGGAGGGCCACAATTTTGACACCATTGACTTAGACTCTGCATAAGATGAATTAAACCCATGTGAACTATGCAGTTGTTTTACTGTAGCCTTCCCTGACATCTTTCAGATTTGTTGGAACTGCCACTCATTGTTCCTAGACAACATGGCCATTGGCTGGGAATGATGGGAATTGGAATCCAACACATCTGGCAGCCTCCCGGTTGAGGAATGCTGTCCTATCTTATTACAGTAACATTAAGCAAGTGGCTGTTTTCGCTGTTAACAGGGGCACATTGGATGGCAAGCATATCTTTGATGCGTTGGAAGATCAGATGTCCTTGCTTTTTCCTTCTTCATTGCTTAAAGCAGCTTGTATTCTGCATGTACAATTAAAAAGGTTATGTTTTCATGTGGTGTCAGTCTGGGTTCTTTATTATTTTTTTACCTACGTACCAAAATAATACCGAAGTAACCAGCAACTTTAGTAGAATCTTAGGCATTGTTTTGTATAATTAAAACCATTTACCAGGTCTTCCCCCTTCAGTAAAGAAATGTTGTACACAATATGGGCTACTCTGGTAGTTTTGGATTAGAAGTTGTAGTCCCACTGAGGTGGATCTTTGGGTCAAGGTACGAGGGTTATCCGGAAAGTAAGGTTACAAGATTTTTTTAAATGCAAAGAGTAAATATATTTTAATAAAACTTATATGGATTTTAGCATAGGTATTACATTATTTTTCCACATAATCACCATTCAGTTCAGTACATTTTGTCATCCATGGGATGAGTTTTTGATGCCTGTGTTTTAGAAGTTTCCCTCCACCTTTTTTGGCCAGTTCGTCACTTCGATTTTCACCTCCTCCTCGTCGTCAGAAAACACCCAGGTGTTCCTTCAATTTAGGTAATCACAGGGTACAAGATCGGGGCTGTGAGAGGGGTGGCTTAAAACATCCCAGTGAAATAAGGTCAACAACTCTTGTATTGCATTAGCGGTGCGGATGCATGTTGTCATGAAGGAGACAAGACTCCCACTGTCAGCATCCCATGATATTTGTTTTGGATGGCTCTACAAAATTTTTTCATGGTCTCACAATATATACCGTACCCAATTGTCACATGCTGTCTTGACATGACATCCTCTCCATAAGGAGCCCCTGGTGGCGCAGTGGGTTAAAGCCCTGTGCCGGCAGGACTGAAGACCGACAGGTCGCAGGTTCGAATCCGGGGAGAGGCGGATGAGCTCCCTCTATCAGCTCCAGCTCCTCATGCGGGGACATGAGAGAAGCCTCCCACAAGGATGATAAAACATCAAATCATCCGGGCGTCCCCTGGGCAACGTCCTTGCAGACGGCCAATTCTCTCACAACAGGAGCAACTTGCCGTTTCTCAGGTCGCTCCTGACACGACAAAAAAAAAATCCTCTCCATAAACTTAAATGATTTCGCAATGTATCGCAGCAACATTCATGCACTTAGCATTTAGGTAGCGTATTACAGCACAAACTTTGGACTTGGAAACGGAATGAGGACGCTCATCTCTAACCTTCACCACAACACCAGTCAATAAGCTACTGACGACTGGCACTGCTCGTTCACTCCTGCTTGCTTCCTGCTACACAGCAGTGATACCAACTTCCCATGAGAAAATTCTCCATGAGAGCTACATGCTAAGTGCTATGTGCCTTGTCACCTTACTTTCCGGATAACCCTTGTAATTGGCTTTATAGTTCAACATTTCAAATATGAGGACCTTATCCCATTGGGATATACTTTGTTTCGGAGACTGAGCGCAATTCTGAACAGGTTCTATCACATGATGTTTATCCCATTCCATCAGAAATCTGTCAGAAACTGCAGAACATGCCAAAAATTAAGTAATTAATTTCATATGCTTCTGAGGTACTGTTTTTATGTGTGATTGTAAAATCGGTATGCATTCGTCAGCTGAAATCTTGCGAGAATGGTAAGTAGGGGCTTCTAGGCTACATCACTGAGCCAAATTAGAAAACAAAACGGATTCAGAGGAGCCAGTAACTGTTTAATCTATTTCTTTTACTACCATGGCAACAAATGATAAATAAATATTGTATTGTCGAAGGCTTTCATGGCCGGAATCACAGGGTTGTAGGTTTTTTCGGGCTATATGGCCATGGTCTAGTGGCATTCTCTCCTGACGTTTTGCCTGCATCTATGCCAACATCCTCAGAGGTAGAGGATGCTTGCCATAGATGCAGGCGAAACTTCAGGAGAGAATGCCTCTAGACCATGGCCATATAGCCCAAAAAAATCTACAACAACCCGATGAATAAATATTGTAATGGTAGTAAAAGAAATAGATTAAACAGTTATGGTACAGATCGCAAAAAGATGGAGGATTAGCACTCCCTAATATTAAAAAAATATTATGAAGCGAGCAGATTAAGATTGGTTATAGAAGGAATGATAAAAAAGAGGGTGTAGATTGGCTAAGAAAGGATTCGGAACAAGTGGAGGAAGAAATTTGGAATATATTTTTTAAACAGTTTACGAGAAAAATTCGGGAAATTAGAAACCCAATGTTGAGCAATATATTAGAAGTATGGAACAAATATAGGAGAATGTTAATAACGGATGGTTCAGTAATAACCCCAATTGGAAAGGAAAAGAAATTTCAAAAAAAAAATTAAGTAATGGATAAAAATTTAAGGAAAAATTTAGACAAAATAGGGGGTTGGACAAAGGTTGGAATGAAGAAGGAAATGATTATGGAAGAATTTAGAGAAATAAAATTGACATGGTTCCATTGTATACAATTAGAAGAATAATTTAAAAATTGGGAAAAAATAATAAAAACGGAAGTAAGCTTAACCAATTAGAACAAATAATACAAAATGGAAGGGTTGTAGAGGAGCATGAAAATTTGAAAGGAGTAACTAGTAAAGTATATAAGATAATTGAAATAAAGAAAGGAAAAACAAAAAAAATAGCATCCTCAAGGAGGTCTGGGAAGAAGATTTAGGGATAAAAATAAATGAAACGGTGGCAACCATTATGGAGACAAAGACATCTAAAAAATTTATCAATATGGGTTAAAGAAAATTATTATAAGCTAATATGGAAATGGTACCGAACACCACTAAGAATTGCAAATATAAATCAAAACTATTCAAAAAATTGCTGGAGAGGATGTCAAGAATCAGGAACATATATACATATGTGGTGGCAATGTAAATATGTAAATAATGTGTGGGGGAAAGTGTTTATAGAAATACAAGATATAATGAGCATTAAAATAGAAGTCCAAGTATAGCTTTATTATCATATAATTATATAATAGCAAGGAACTGGAAAAGAGAAATAAATATACAAATAGAGGAGTGGTATAAGGAAGTATGGAAATTATGTATTATGTATATTAAAAGTTAAAAGGGGTATATGGAAACAAAGTGATTTTGATGATGCGTGGAAAAATTATTGAAAAAGGATTAAAAAATAAAGAAGGAAAGTTACCTCCACAAGAAGAATTGAAATTTTGGACAGATTATATGTAAAAGCCGTGGCTTGGGGCGGGGGGGGGGGGAGTACAGCGGTGAGGGTTAGAAAATATTTATAAGCAGAAAAATAACACTAGATACCAAAAGTTAAAGCATGGTAGGTTGTATTGAATAATATTTATCTGCTGTAAAACAAACACTATAACAAATGTATTAAATCATGATAAAATAATAAAAAATATAAAAAAGAGGAGCCATCTTCCATGATGTGATGAGTCAAAGCTTAGTATTTTCAAAACATAAGAATCCCATCTTAATACACTATGCATCCAGAAATATGGTGTGGTGTGGGTGAGTGTGTGTGTATAGTATATCCCAATACGATAAGGTCCTAAGAGAGCCTTTGGAAAGGACTGTATAAGGGTTACTTACTTACTTAGGCGATCCCTTGTAGTCCAAGGATGATGGTCCTCCAAGTTCGGTGTCCTGGCAGTGGGTCCGTAGGTGACTGTGGAGCCCTATTCTTGATCTGCATCTTCTTCCGCAGTGAGGGCATTGGTTTCCAGGTGGAAGGCGGTTTCGGTTGGGGTTAGCTTGACGCGCCTTCCTCTTGGCACATTTCTCTTTCACCCGCCATTCGTGCCTCTTCAAATTCTGCAGCACTGCTGGTCACAGCTGACCTCCAGTTGGAGCGCTCAAAGGCCAGGGCTTCCCAGTTCTCAGTGTCTATGCCAGAGTTTTTGAGGTTGGCTTTGAGCCCATCTTTAAATCTCTTTTCCTGCCCACCAGCATTCCGTTTTCTGTTCTTGAGTTCGGAGTAGAGCAACTGCTTTGAGAGACGGTGGTCAGGCATCCGGACAACATGGCCAGTCCAGCGGAGTTGATGGCGGAGGACCATCGCTTCAATGCTGGTGGTCTTTGCTTCTTCCAGCACGCTGACGTTTGTCCGCTTGTCTTCCCAAGAGATTTGCAGGATTTTTCGGAGGCAGCGCTGATGGAATCGTTCCAGGAGTTGCATGTGATGTCTGTAGACAGTCCAGGTTTCACAGGCATATAGCAGGGTTGGGAGGACAATAGCTTTATAAACAAGCACCTTGGTCTCCCTACAAATGTCCCGGTCCTCAAACACTCCCTGCTTCATTCGGAAAAATGCTACACTCGCAGAGCTCAGGTGGTGGTGTATTTCGGTGTCGATGTTGACTTTGGTGGAGAGGTGGCTGCCAAGGTAGCTGAAATGATCAACATTTTCTAATGTTACACCATTAAGCTGTATCTCTGGCATTGGAGAGGGGTTGGCTGGTGACAGCTGGAACAGCACTTTGGTTTTCTCGATGTTTAATGACAGGCAGAGCTTCTCATATGCTTCTGCGAAGGTGTTTAGAGTGGCTTGTAGATCTTCTGAATGTGCACAGATGACGTTGTCATCAGCATACTGGAGTTCTATAACAGATGTTGTAACTTTTGTTTTGGCTTTCAGTCTGCTGAGGTTAAACAGCTTGCCATCTGTCCGATAGATGATTTCCACTCCGCTGGGAAGCTTCCCATCAACAAGATGAAGTATCTTAGCGATGAAGATGGAGAATAAAGTTGGGGTAATATAAGGGTAATAAGCTGTTAACAGCATTGCAAGTGGTAGTTTCACTATGCTCTATGCTGCCAGTCTTTTACAACATTTTTCCCCTGCTGGAAGTTGCAAGCTTTCCTTTTTTTTTTTTCTCCTGATCTGAGAACAGGCCATTGACCCCATTCCTGTGTGCTTTATGACCATTCACTGACTGAAGGGCTCCCTGTCGTGGTGCACCGGTGTGTCACGCCTTGTCATTTCACAAATCTTTGAAAGGCCTTGATTGTTCACTGGCTTTGCGGCTGGCACTCAACTAACTTTCCTCCTATTGTGTAATTTTATGTGTAAGACCTGATCTGTGCAAATCTGATTATCATATCTTCAGTTCATTGATTAATGGGGTGCAATGTGATCACCTGTTGGATCAAAATCCAGGAGAAATAGGGGAGACAGAAATAGGTGCATGCAGTTTTGCATAAAAGTAAGAGGTGTAGCCACTGTAGTGTGTGTATTCTTCAGTAGAAGCCTCATAATACTTGGTCTGTTAGGTGTTTTTGGTCTCCCCACCCTTTCTTCATTATCAGCAAAGAGCAACTGTCTGAGTTAAACAAACAACTCACAGATAAATTGACTTCCAGGTTGCTGGTTCCAAGGCTAAATCTTTATGAGCTGTTTTGCCACTGGGCTGTCTTTCTTGGGCTGTAAATGGAGTGTGTCTGTGTACATACTCCTTGGCAGTGACCCCGGCCATATCCTGAAACCTGATTACACACCTGAAGCCTTGGTGCCTTGGTACAGGCTGGGTTAATGACTTTGTTTATACTGATAAGGACAATTGAGATAAATGTAGTCCCCTGGGTCTCCTGGCCCCGGCTGGCACCTTCATTGAGAAAACCTTTCTCCGGGCCACGTGAAGTCTCTGTTTCTCCCCAGCCAATTGGTTCAGGGTTGACTTGTTTTTCAATGAGCCGGTGGCTGCTTGTCAAAGGGAGGTCAAGGCTGCTAGTGGGGGTGGTTTCCAATCATCCCTTCAGGGGCCTTATAAGTGAAGCTGGGAAACAGCAGCTACAGAAAAGACGGGAGAAGCTGTGGAGTGAGCAAAAGGTGTGGTAGGACCAAGACAGTTGCCAAGCCACCTGTATAGGGAAAGCGTTTGCTTTTCAGATAGCGGTTCCTTACGTTCTGTTCCAACCTGATCATGGAGTGCGAAAAGTGCCCATGGCACCATGAGGAAAACCAGAACGCCATCCTCTACACCCTCCTGAGCCAGAACTTGAGCCCCAACAGGAGCAGCGCTGGCTTTTCCCAACAGAGCTGCATGTGCCACAAGCGCCGCACGGTCTGCCTCCGGACCCCTCAAGTGACCTGCCAGGCGGCCTCTGATGTCTTGGTGAAGACCATCACCTTTGTGAAGAACCTGCCATCCTTCCAGCTCCTGCCCTGGGATGACCAGCTCCTGCTGCTGGATAGCTGCTGGGCACCTCTCTTCCTTCTGGGGTTGGTCCAGGAGATGGTGACCTTTGAGGTGATGGAGACCCCCGCCCCCAGCATGCTGGAGAGGATCCTCCTCGATGGGCCCTGCAAGAGGCAAGAGCCGCAGAGGACACAGCCCACACTGGCCAGTGTGCAGCGGCTACAGTGCTGCTTGAACTCTTTCTATAGCCTGGACCTGAGCCCTAAAGAATATGCCTATCTGAAAGGCGCCATTCTTTTCAACCCTGGTAAGTCCTGCTTGAACCAATGTCCAGTAAGAAGAAGTAGGAGAAGCGGGCCAGCTTTTCATAAGAAATAGGAGGGAAGGGGAAAGCCAGTATGGTGTAGAGCAGCGTTTCTCAAACTTTCTAATGCCGTGACCCTTTAATACAGTTCCTCATGTTCTGGTGACCCCCAACCATAAAATTATTTTTGTGTCAAGACTGCCTTGAGAAACTGCAAATTGATTCTGATGTGAGAGAATTGGCCATCTGCAAGGACGTTGCCCAGGGTACACACACGCAGGGGTCCACAAACTTTCTAAACGGAGGGCCAGGTCACAGTCCCTCAAACTGTTGGAGGGCCGGATTATAATTTGAAAAAAAAAACATGAATGAATTCCTATGCACACTGCACATATCTTATTTGTAGTGCAAAAACATTTAAAATCAATACAATAATTAAAATGAAGAACAATTTAAACATACATTTATTAGTATTTCAATGGGAAGTGTGGGCCTGCTTTTGGCTGATGAGATAGGATTGTTGTTGTTGTTCTGTGCTTTCAAGTCATTACAAATGTAGGATGACCCTAAGCGAGGGCCGGGTAAATGACCTTGGAGGGCCGCATTCGGCCCCCGGGCCTTAGTTTGAGGACCCCTGCGCACCCGGGTGTTTGATGTTTTAACCATCCTTGTGGGAGGCTTCTCTCATGTCCCTGCATGGGGAGTTGGAGCTGACAGATAGAGCTTATCCGCGCTCTCTCCGGATTCGAACCTCCAACCTGCTAGCACAAGGGTTTAACCCATTGTGCCACCGAGGGCTCCATTATTTTAGTTGCTGCTTCATAACTGTAATTTTGCTACTGTTATGAATCATAATGTAAATATCTCATATGCAGGATGTATTTTCATTCACTGGAACAAATTTGGCACAAATACCCAATACACCCAAATTTGAAAGTTTGGGGGGTCGATTTTGTCGTTTGGCAGTTGTAGTTGCTGGGATTTATAGTTCACCTGCAATCAAAAGAGTATTCTGAACTCCATCAACCATGGCATTGAACCAAACTTGGCACACAGAACTCCCATGACCAACAGAAAATACTGAAAGGGTTTGGTGGGCATTGACCTTGAGTTTTGGAGTTGTAGTTCACCTACATCCAGAGAGCACTGTGGACTCAAACAATGATAAATCAGCACCAAACTTGGCACGAATACGCAATATGCCCAAATGTGAACACTGGTGGAGTATGTGGAAAATAGACTTCGACATTTGGAAGTTGTAGTTGCTGGGATTTATAGTTCACCTACAATCAAAGAGCATTCTGAACCCCACTAATGATAAAATTGGGCCAAACTTCCCACACAGAACTCCCTTGACCAACAGAAAGTACTCTGTTTTCTGATGGTCTTTGGTAACCCCTCACGAGCCCCCCAGGGGTACCAACCCCCAGGTTGAGAAATGCTGGTGTAGAGGTTGGAGACATCTGGAGACCAGTGATCGATTCCCCACTCAGCCATGAAACCCACTGGATGATCTTGATCAAGTTCCAAAAACCCCATGATAGGGTTGCCGTAAGTCACACAACAGGATGACTGAGCTGGAGTTGTGCCTCTCACACTCAACATAAAGGTATAGTAATCTAGGTTACTTCACTTCACTTAAGCGATCCCTTGTTTTCCGAGGAGGACTGTCTTCCAGTGTTCTTGTGGTTCCGTATGTGGCTGTGGAGCCCTATTCTTGCTCTGTATCTTCTTCCGCAGTGAGGGCATTGGTTTCAGGTGGAAGGTGGTCTCGGTCGGGGTTGGCTTGACGCGCCTTCCTCTTGGCACACTTCTCCCTTTCGCCCTCCATTCGTGCCTCTTCAAATTCTGCAGCACTGCTGGTCACAGCTGACCTCCAGCTGGAGCGCTCAAGGGCCAGGGCTTCCCAGTTCGCAGTGTCTATGCCGGAGTTTTTAAGGTTGGCTTTGAGCCCATCTTTAAATCTCTTTTCCTGTCCACCAACATTCCGTTTTCCGTTCTTGAATTTGGAGTAGAGCAATGCTTTGGGAGACGGTGGTCGGGCATCCGGAGAACATGGCCGGTCCACCGGAGATGATGGCGGAGGACCATCGCTTCAATGCTGGTGGTCTTTGCTTCTTCCAGCACGATGGTGTTTGTTCGCCTGTCTTCCCAAGAGATTTGCAGGATTTTCCGGAGGCAGCACTGATGGAATCGTTCCGGGAGTTGCATGTGACGTCTGTAGACAGTCCACGTCTCACATGCATATAGCAGGGTTGGGAGGACAATAGCTCTATAAACAAGCACCTTGGTATCCCTACCAAACACTCTCTGCTTCATTCTAGGTTAAACAATGCATTGATTCAACCTATTTTTTCTAGTTAGTCTATTCATTAAATTTGTGTATGAGTACAAACTTTTGCAGAAGTAAGATGAAGGTCTTGAGGGAATTTTAAAATTATTACAAATATACATATTATTTATTCATATCCTTTGCTGGGCAAATTAAAATATACACAGAGGTATGAATAGCAACATATTCCTTTGGAAATGCAGTGTATAGAATTGAAACGATTTAAATTAATTAGACAACAGAACCCTGGATTTCCATGTTCTAATTGAACAAGGACTTCATAATATACTTGCAAACCTAGGAGTCATCCTGGGGTGTCTATGGCTTTCACGTAAGAACTTCATAAGGCTCACATTTATTTATCTTGCAATTTTGTTGATGAAAAATTATAGGACAGCTTTACTAAAGTAACAGCAAACCGTAACAGGTGTCACTCCTGCAGGATGAGATATTGATAAAGGTGTGCCGTTACAAGTGACCTGTAGAAAAAAGATACCAGGTGGTACATCAATGGCAATGTTGGTTGTAATTTCTGATATCCAGAGCATGAACAATCATGGTCTGATCACAGGTCCCATGATATCTGGTTGGAGTTGTAAGCCAAAGTATGATTGCAGCCTCCTGTTAGGAAAGAGATTATGCCAGGTATGGGCAAACCCAGGTCTGGGTGGCCCCTTGCGCTTTTTTCTTAGGTTGTGTCACTATCCTATCCTTCCTTCCTTCTCGCTTTCCTTCCTCCTTCTCTTCCTTACCTCCCTCTTTCTCCATCCCTTCCACCCTGTTGCCCTTCCCTCCTTCCCTTCCCTTCCCCCTTTCTTCTTCCTTTTGTCTGTCCTTCCTTCTCTCTTTCCCCCCTCCCCTCCCTACATTCCCTCTTCCTTCCTTCTCTTCCTCCCTTTCTTTCTTCTCTTTTTCCTTCTTCCTTTCCCTATTGAGGATATTGAGCTGGGAGAAGAAAAGGTAGAGAAGGGACATGAGAACCATGTTTTAAGATTTCAAAGGGTCTCCCATTGAAGAGGAGGGGAAAACTGACTTTCTGCTGCTCTAGAGACCAGGGCACAGGGGACCAATGGTTTCAAATGGCAGGGAAAGAGATTTGACTGAAAAGCTGAGGAAGAACTTCCTGTGAGTAAGAGCTGTTAGAGAGTGGTGTAGGCTGCTTGGGAGTGTGGTGGAGTCTCCTTCTCTGGAGGCTTTTCCGCAGAGTCTGTCTATCGGGAGTGCTTTGATTGTGCTTCCCTGCATGGGAGAGGGTTGGACTGGATGGCCCTTGGGGGTCTCTTCCAGCTCTAGGATTCTATATCAAGAGTAGGCAATAGGGGTCCCATGGATACACATTTTCTCTCCCGTCCACCATCTCATCCTGACCAAGGCCAACCCTTTTGGGATCCAAACATTTCCTGTTTTTGGGTTGTTGTAGGTTTTTTCGGGCTATATGGCCATGTTCTAGAGAAATGGACCATATAGCCCGAAAAAGCCTACAACAACCCAGTGATTCCGGCCATAAAATCCTTCGACAATACATTTCCTGTTTTTCCTTCACTTTCTGCCTCTGGAAGGGGCGGAAAGGGTAGGGAGGGGACTTGGGGAGAACCCCCTTCCTCCCAGCTCGCCCACCCTGTTCCAGCCCAGACAGGGAAAAGCCTCCAGAGAAGGAGGCTCCACCACACTCCTGGACAGCCTAGGCTACTCTCCAAGAAGTTCTTTCTAATCTTTTCAGTCGAATCTCTTTCCCTGCCATTTGAACCCATTGCTCCCTTGTGCTCTGGTCTGTAGAGCAGCAGAAAGTCAGTTTTCCCCCTCCTCCTCCTCAATGCGACACCCTTTAAAATCTTGAAACATGCTTCTCGTGTTCCCTTTCTACCTTCTCCTGGCTAAACATCCCACAGGAGGAAAGGAGGAAGGAAAAAGAAGAAAGGGAGGGAGGGAGGGAAGGAAGGGTGGAAGGGAATGGAGGGAGGGAGGAAAGAGAGAAGGAAGGAAAAACAAAAGGGAGGGAGGGAGGGAGGGAGGGAGGGAAGGGAGGGAGGGAGGGAGAGATAAAGAAGGGAGAGAGGAAAGGAGGAAGGAAAGAGAGAAGGAAGGATAGAATAGTAAGGGAGACGAGCGCCTGAGAAAAGAGCCCAAGGGGTCACATTCGACTCACGGGCCTGGGTTTGCCCATGCCTGATCTAGCCTCTACACTCATTTTATTATGATACTAGCTTGGGAACCCATACTTTCAGAAATGCATTGTGTGCCAAGGTTGGTTATTTATGTGGCTCGCAGTGGTCTCAGGAAGTTAGTGAAGGTATTGCAAGTCCCATCCTCCATGGTTCATCCTCCTCCAAATAGTACCAGGACATAGAGGGGCTCCTGGGGGCTCTGTGTGCCAAGTTTGGTCTTGATCAATCATTGAATGAGGTTCACAGTGGACTTGGGAAGTGAGTGAAGGTACTTCAAGTCCCATCTTCCGTGGTCCACCCTCCTTGATACCGCACCAGGATGTAGAGTGGGTCATGTGGGCTCTGTGTGCCAAGTTTGGTCTTTATCAGCCATTGGATGTGGGTCGCAGCGGTCTCGGGAAGTGAGTGGAGGTATTTAAAGTCCCATCATCCATGGTCTGCCCTCCTCCAAACTGCAGTAGGCTGTAGAGTGGGTCATGGAGGCTCTGTGTGCCAATTTTGGTCTTTATCGGTCTTTGTTGGGGGCCACAGTGGTCTGTGGGAACTGAAAGATTTGAAAATACTACAAATCCCATCATCCATTGTCATTCCTCCTCCAAACAGCACCAGGATGTAGAGTGGATCATGGGGGCTCTGTGCGCCATGTTTGGTCCAGATACGTCACCCGTGCTGGTCACAGTGGTCTGTGAAAGTGGGAGCCAATCAGAAAGCTGCCACATACATCTCCGCATACAAACATACATACAAAATTCACTTTTATTATATACTAGCCATCCCCTGCCATGCGTTGCTGTGGCCCAGTCTGGTGATCTGGAAAATAAAGTAATGAAAAAGTGTTGGTTTCTAATATATGCAATTTCTTTATGCTTGTGGGTAAACAGTATTTCTTGCTGTTTCTTTGTCAGTGTTGATGTGGAGATTGTCTGGTTTGCCTACTCTGGAACATGCAACATATAATTGTCCTTCTTTAGGGGTCCCTTTAAAATCTATGATACTATATCTGTCATATACGTGTGTGTGTGTGTGTGTGTGTGTGTGTGAATCATATCTATCTACCTATAACTATGGCTGGATGGCTCTTTGTCAGGAGGGCTTTGATTGTTTTCTTGCCCTGGTGAAGGGAGTTGGACTGGATGGCCTTAAATATTTTCTGTTGGTCATGGGGGTTCTGTGTGGGAAGTTTGCCCCAATTCCGTCATTTGTGGGGTTCAGCATGCTCTTTGATTGTAGGTGAACTATAACTTCCAGTACCTACAACTCCCAAATGTCAGGGTCTATTTCCCCCAAACTCCATCTGAGTTCACATTTGGGCATATGGGATATTTGTGCCAAGTTTGGTCCAGATCCATCCTTGTTTGAGTCCACAGTGGTCTCTGGATGTAGGTGAACTACAACTCCCAAAGTCAACGGCAATGCCCACCAAACCCTTCTAGTGTTTTCTGTTGGTCTTGGGAGTCCTGGGTATCATGTTTGGTTCAATTCCATCATTGATGGAGTTCAGAATACTCTTTGATTGTTGGTGAACTATAAATTCCAGCAGCTATAACTCCCAAATAACAAAATCAAAAAATTTGGAGTGAAGGGCATACATTGGGTTGTTAGGTATATGCTGTCCAAATTTGGTGTCAATTCGTCCAGTGGTTTTTGAGTTATGTTAATCCCACAAACGAACATTACATTTTTGGATTGTTGTAGGTTTTTCCGGGCTATATGGCCATGTTCTGGAGGCAATTTTTCTCCTGACATTTCGCCTGCATCTATGGCAAGCATCCTCAGAGGTAGTGAGGTCACTACCTCTGAGGATGCTTGCCATAGATGCAGGCGAAACGTCAGGAGAAAAATTGCCTCCAGAATATGGCCATATAGCCCGGAAAAACCTACAACAACCCAGTGATCCCGGCCATGAAAGCCTTTGACAATACATTACATTTTTATTTATATAGATATAGATTTATTATTTGAACAAAAATTTACTAGACTTGAGTAATATCGTTTTGTAGTAAAAGAAAACTAGAACGAAGTTTTAGCTTTTTACAAAACGAAACGCTGATAAAACTAAAGAAATGAGTGTTTAAAGCATTGATTTTAGCTGGGTTTGTACTGGCTTGGAACTGTAATAAATATTTGAGATAATGCACAGTCTTGAAGGCACTTGAAGTTCATCTGCTTCCAGGATTCCAATTGACATGTTCACAGTTTGTGGTTAATCTGAATATTCCTTTCTCTCCTCCTTCAGACATTCCTGGTCTTAAAGCGTCCTCTTACATCGAGAGCCTCCAGAAAGAAGCTCAGAGAGCACTCCAAGAGGTCTTGGCGCTTCTTCACCTGGAAGATCAAGGCCGTTTTGCCCGCGTCTTGCTGGTTTCCTCCTCCTTGAAGTCCATCCCTCCTTCTCTCATCACCGAACTTTTCTTTCAGCCCATCATTGGCAATATGGACATTCTCGAACTGCTCTCGGATATGTTGCTAGTGAAATAGCTCCTTTGACATCACCTTCTGTGCATGCATCAAAGCTATGACTCTTTACTGAATTCAAGATGTGGATAAGAGCATCCTAATGAGACTTTGCAGATAAAGAGACTTATTCTTTGTCTAGACCTCAAAACACAAGAAGGTGAATTGCAATCTGGTCTTTCAAGCAACTAAAGTCAGAATCACATTATGGCGGGGGAAACCCTCCTATTTTTGTGCAGCATTGCAAAGGATATCAGAAATACAATCACAATTTATGAAATAGGGGTAATGCGGGTCAAAACCCCTGCAGCATTTAAGGGCATGCGATTGACACACTTATATTGATTTTCCTTCCATCGTAACTCTTATAACATCCTCATACTTCTCAAAGGATGCTGGGAATTGCAGTTTTCTGATGGTGCTGAGATGTCTTCATATCCACTGCCCTTCCTCAAGGAACTGCAGCTTCCAGTAACGTTTCAATTAGAGGAAACCTATCTCCTGTAATAATACATCACCGCTTTTGAATAACTTAGTCATGATATTTATCTCGCTTTCTTTTTTGGAAATAATAGATATTGGGACTAGTTCAGCTTAAATAAGGGATTTATTTACACATAAACCAACCGGCATGTTCATCTCTTGCTTAGGTGCAAGTACTCTCTCCTTATCACATCTTCTGAGAATCACTTGGTTTTAGCTGGTGTCAAGTGGCGGAGACCTGTGTATTGTGTCTAAGAATCTAAATATGCCACCTTGTACATTTGTTGTGTGTGTGTTTCCTTGATGAAAGAAGCTGTGCGAAACAGGCCTGCTGATGACTAGTGGAACAGTTTCCCTTATAGTACTCCAAGTTATAGCCCTCCAAGGGTTATGATGCTAGAAGACAAAACAGTTCGTCTCAAATTGCACTGTTTGGTATGAATCAGTCAAATATATTTTGATGTGGATGTCTGGAAAAAGAGGCTGGATGGCTACCTGCTGGGAAAGCTTTAGCTGAGGTTGTGCATCAAGTAGCAACTTGGACTCAATGGCCCATGAGGCCCCTTCCAACTCGATGCTTCTATGACTGTGGGGCATCTCAGGACGAATCTACACTGCAGAATGAATGCATATTGACACCACTTTAATAGCCATGACAGAAGTCCCTGGTAGCACAACGGGTTAAATCCTTGTCCTGGCAGGACGAATCTGGGGAGAGAGCGGGTTGAGCTCCCTCTGTCAGCTCCAGCTCCCCATGTGGGGACATGAGAGAAACCTCCCACAAGGATGGTAAACCATCAAAACATTTGGGGGTCCCCTGGGCAACATCCTTGCAAACGGTCAACACTCTCGCACCAGAAGCAACTTGAAGTTTCTCAAGTCACTCTTGACATGGACAAAAAAACCAGCCATGACTCAATGCTGTGGGATTTGTAGTTTGGCAAGACCGCAGCACTTTTCGGCAAAGAAGGCTACAGACCTTACAAAACTACAACTCCCAGGGCTCCACAACATTAAGTCGTGGCAGTGATGTCAAACAGCATTCATTCTATGGTGTAGATGCACCCTAATTAACCTTTGATCCTCATGTCGTTTAGAGGAGCAGTGGGTTAAACCCCTGTGCCGTCAGGACTGAAGACCAACAGGTCGCAGGTTCGAATCCGGGGAGAGCCGGATGAGCTCCCTCTATCAGCTCCAGCTCCTCATGCGGGGACATGAGAGAAGCCTCCCACAAGGATGATAAAACATCAAATCATCCGGGCGTTCCCGGGCAACGTCCTTGCAGATGGCCAATTCTCTCACACCAGAAGTGACTTGCAGTTTCTCAAGTCGCTCCTGACATGACCAAAAAAAATGTCATTAAGAACAGCTGAAGGACAGAAACCTTCATTCCTCTTTCCAGCTTTTCATCACAAAATCTCCTCCACAATGGATGTTTTATCCAGGGAAGTGGCTGCTTACTGCTTTAGTTCACACAACTGCTGCATACACAGAGTAACACTATCTTTGCACAGGCCCTTGATGTCGGCATTTTGTGTATACTGTGTCTCTATGTGATTGTATGTTAACAACAATTTGCTAATTTATTTTTTTTAAAGAAAACAAATAAAATGTTTTGAAATACAACCAACAGTTGGTGTCATTTTGAAGATTACGGAGATTGTGGTTGACAGATCTATTATAATTACTTTATTTGGGATACTGAGTCAATCCTATTTTGGGCTCGGTGTAAAGAAGCATGTGGACAAAACAGAAACAGGTCCAATGGTGACCAAGGAAGGAAAGGAATTCATAGAATCATAGAGCTGGAAGAGCCATCCTGTCCAACCCCATTCTGCCAAGAAATAGTGAAAATCAAAGCACCTCCGACAGATGTCCATCCAGCCTGTTTAAAAGCCTCCAAAGGAGCCTCCACCACAGCCTGGGACAGAGAGAGAGTTCCACTGCTGAACAGCTCTTCTCACAGTCGGAAGTTCTTTCTAATGTTCAGGAGGAATCTCCTTTCCTGTAGTTTGAAACCATTGTTACACTGCATCCTAGTTTCCAGGGCAGCAGAAACAAGCCTGCTTCCTCCTCCCTATGACATCTCACATCTTAATCCATGGCCCTCATCATGTCTCCTCTCAGCCTTCTTGTGTTGTATTGTATTTCTGGGCTTGGCCTCATGTTAGCTGCCGAGTCCCCATTGGGGAGATGGTGGCAGGGTATAAATAAAGATGATGATGATGATGATTATTATTATTCTTTTCTGAAGGCTAAACATGCCCAAGTCTTTAAGCCACTCCTTATAGGGCTTGTGAAACGAAAACACGAACAAATCTTCAGGCAGGGTGGACCTTTTATTTTATCATCATGTCACTGCCTCCATTTGAAACAAAAACAAACAGATATCTAACAGAGATTAAGAGAGATGAAACAGTAACCCAGTTTATTTGTAGCATTCTTGTGGCATAAGCGTAGTGGTTACAAAGGATCAAATGCTTGCTGATTACAGAACAACGTTTCAATATAAGTTTCATTCAATCTATTCTTTTTCTCCAAAAGGACAGTTATGCAAATACATAAAAACAGGTACAAACTATCTTTAACGTGTTCCTATATCTAAATTTTCAGCTAACGTCTTCCTTCACTTTAGCTCACTAACTAACAACACCAGAATGTTTAGTTGGGCTTCTCCAACTCTTAACTACTCCACATTGGAGAGTAAACACCTGGCTCACTACTTAATGCAGCCTTTCTCTTCCTGACTACCTGTCAGAAGCCTAAACTTTTTGGTGTAGTCCCACCACCTTAGGACTAACCGTCCTTAAACTCATCCAGCAACCAACTGACTCCTTTTTTTAAACCAACATTCTTTTTTCCAGTGACAGTTGGCTCTGCCCCCTTTCCTCTGCCTGGAGGCTATGCTGCTATGGCAACACCCGGGGCTTCTGGTCACCTCTCAGCCAATATTAATAAAACACTAGCCGTCTCCTGCCACACGTTGCTGTGGCCCAGTCTGATGATCTGGAAAATAAAGTAATGAGAAAGTTTTGGTTTCTAATATATGAAATGTCTTTATGCTTTATGCAGTATTTCTTGTTGTTTCTTTATCAGTGTTGATGTGGAGATTGTCTGGTTTGTCTACACTGGAACACACAACATAAAGTTGTCCTTCTTTAGGGGTCCCTTTCAAATCTATGATACTTTATCTCTCTGTGTGTGAATCATATATCTATCTATCTATCTATCTATCTATCTATGGCTGGATGGCTCTTTGTCAGGAGGGCTCTGATTACGTTTTCTTGCCCTGGTGAAGGGAGTTGGACTGGATGGCCTTGAGTATTTCCTGTTGGTCATGGGGGTTCTGTGTGGAAAGTTTGCACCAATTCTATCGTTCGTGGGGTTCAGCATGCGCTTTGATTGTTGTTGTTAATTCGTTCAGTCGTCTCCGACTCTTCGTGACCTCATGGACCAGCCCACGCCAGAGCTCCCTGTCGGCCGTCACCACCCCCAGCTCCTTCAAGGTCAGTCCAGTCACTTCAAGGATGCTTTGATTGTAGGTGAACTATAAATCCCAGTAACTACAACTCCCAAATGTCAAGGTCTATTTTCCCCAAACTGCACCAGTGTTCACATTTGGGTATACTGAGTATCCGTGCCAAGTTTGGTCCAGATCCATCATTGTTTGAGCCCACAGTGCCCTCTGGATGTAGGTGAACTACAACTCCCAAACTCAAGGTCAATGCCCACCAAACTCTTCTAGTGTTTTCTGGTGGTCATGGGAGTCCTATCTGTTCGTTTACATCATCGATGGAGTTCAGAATGGTCTTTGATTGTAGGTGAACTATAAATCCCAAAAACTACAACTCCCAAATGACAAAATCAAAAAATTTTGAGTGAAGGACATACATTGGGTTGTTAGGTGTATGGTGTCCAAATTTGGTGTCAATTCGCCCACTGGTTTTTGAGTTCTGTTAATCCCACAAACGAACATTACATTTTTATTTATATAGATAGAAGAAGATATCCAAAACTTACACCTTAATTGGGAATTTCATTACAGCTTGTTCTTCAGGCCCTTGATGGAAAGGCAACTCTATGCCCAGTGGTTTGGATCACTGAGTTTTGCCTTGAGGACTAGGGGCCCTGCCACACTACACACATATAGCGCTATTTATTTATTTATCGTGTCATCCGCAACCAGAACATTGTATTACATTTCTAACAGAACAAAACAAACAAACAGATAAAAAAACACAAATTTTGCAAATTTGGTAGTTGATTAAATGTCCGTTGACCAGTATCTGGCCACTTGGAGTGCTTCTGGTGTTGCCGCAAGAAGGTCCTCCATTGTGCATGTGGCAGGGCTCAGGGTGCATTGCAGCAGGTGGTCAGTGGTTTGCTCTTCTCCGCACTCGCATGTCGTGGATTCCACTTTGTAGCCCCATTTCTTAAGGTTGGCTCTGCATCTCGTGGTGCCAGAGCGCAGTCTGTTCAGCGCCTTCCAAGTCGCCCATTTTCTGTGTGCCCAGGGGGGAGTCTCTCATTTGGTATCAGCCATTGATTGAGGTTCTGGGTTTGAGCCTGCCACTTTTGGACTCTCGCTTGCTGAGGTGTTCCAGCGAGTGTCTCTGCAGATCTTAGAAAACTATTTCTTGATTTAAGTCGTTGACGTGCTGGCTGATACCCAAACAAGGAATGAGCTGGAGATGTCACTGCCTTGGTCCTTTCACTATTGGTTGCTACTTCCCGGCGGATGTCAGGTGGTGCAATACCGGATAAGCAGTGTAATTTCTCTAGTGGTGTAGGGCGCAGACACCCCGTGATAATGCGGCATGTCTCATTAAGAGCCACATCCACTGTTTGAGCGTGGTGAGATGTGTTCCACACTGGGCATGCGTACTCAGCAGCAGAGTAGCATAGCACAAGGGCAGATGTCTTCACTGTGTCTGGTTGTGATCCCCAGGTTGTGCCAGTCAGCTTTCGTATGATATTGTTTCTAGCACCCACTTTTTGTTTGATATTCAGGCAGTGCTTCTTGTAGGTCAGAGAACGGTCTGACTCCCAGGTATTTGGGTGCGCTACAATGCTCCAGTGGGATTCCTTCCCAGGTAATCCTCAGAGCTCGGGAAGCGTGTCTGTTCTTAAGGTGAAAGGCGCATGTCTGTGTTTTAGATGGATTAGGGATCAGTTGGTTTTCCCTGTAATAGGCAGTAAGAGCACCTAGAGCTTCGGAGAGCTTCTGTTCAACCATCTCAAAGCTCCCTGCTTGAGTGGTGATGGTACGATCATCAGCATAGATGAAACTCTCTGTCTCTTCTGGCAGTGGCTGGTGATTTGTGTAGTTGTTGAACATGGATGGAGCGAGCACGCTCCCCTGAGGCAGGCCTTATAGCGCTATCATTCCACTTTAACTCCCGTGGCAACATCTTATGCGACCCTGAGCTTTGCAGTTTAAAGGAGTGACGAGAAGCCTCAAGCAGAGAGCACCAAACTACACATCCAAACATCATACAGGATTGGCACCTATCCATTGCAATGAAAGCTGAATAACAAAATAGGGAGGATGAGAGAGGAGGAGCTTGGCTTCTATCAGTGTTTCCTAGACTCTTGAGGCCTCCAGCGGTTTGGGACTTCATCTCCCAGACGCCCCAGCCAGCTCAGCGAACGGCGAGGAATTCTGGGAGTTGAAGTTCTAAGTACAAGAGGGAGTCGGTGACGTCTGGGCTGGGTCACGTGCCCGCCGTTTTGGGAGTCTTCCCAGCGAGTCACGTGAACGCCTGGTGACGTCTGGGCTGGGTCACGTGCCCGTCTTTTGCGGCTGTCGTCCCGACAGCCGCAAAAGACGGGCACGTGACCCAGCCCAGACGTCACTAAGCGTTCACGTGACTCGCTGGGAGGACTCCCAACATGGCGGCGCTCGCTCCGACTCCGTCTTCTCTCCCTCCCGGCGGCCGCTATTGCCTGGTGAGCGGCATTCCGGCCGGGCTCCGTTCCGCCGACCTCCGCGGCTACTTCAGCCAGTTCGTCGAAGCCGGGGGATTCCTCTGCTTCCATTACCGGCACCGTCCCGAAAAGGAAACTCTCCCTCAACGCCCAGGCCCGACCTGCTGCTGCCTCGTGGCCGTGAAGGCCGGCTGGTCCCGCCGCTTGGTCCGCATGTACTCAGGGAAGCGCTGGCTCGACCGCCAAGGAGACACCCTGCCCGGGCGGTGCCTCATCCGCAGGGTCCGCGTCTCCCCGCAGGAAGGTGAGAGTAGGCAGAGCAGGAGGGGAGAAGCCCAGGGTGCTTTGGAATGCTTGTCATTCCCTGTTTGGGTTGCTATGAGTTTTCCGAGCTGTATGGCTATGTTCCAGAAGCATTTTCTCCTGACGTTTCTCCCCCATCTATGGCAGGCATCCTCAGAGGTTGTGAGGTCTGTTGGAAACTAGGAAAGTGGAGTTAATCTATCTGTGGAATAATGTCTAGGGTGGGAGGGAGGAAGAACTCCTGTCTGCATGAGGCAAGGGTGAATGTTGCCATTGGCCACCTTGATTAGCATTGAATGTTTATTTATTTATTTATTTAGAGCTTTTATTTATTTAGAACTTCTCAACTTCCGCAGAAGGACTCAGCCCAGTTCACAACAAAAGATTCATAAACAGTAGTTTAAAACATCACATCCCATAATTCACTAAAACATTAAACTACAATCATATAATTACATAATGCCAGTCGTCAAAATGAAGTCATAATTCATCGCTATCTGTCCGTGTGGTCAAAAGTTATTGACTCAGTCATCAAATGCTAAATTCCAGAGCCAGGTTTTCACCAGTTTTCTAAAAGTTAGGAGAGAAGGGGCAGATCTAATCTCCAGTGGGAGAGAGTTCCAGAGCCGAGGGGCCACCACCGAGAAGGCCCTGTCCCTCTTCCCCACAAGACGCGATTGTGAGGGTGGTGGGACCGAGAGTAGGGCCCCTCCAGAAGATCTTAACAACCTTGATGGTTCATAGGGGAGAATCCGTTCGGACAGGTAAACTGGGCCGGAGACTTGCAGCTTCCTGCCTGGAGAAATATTTGTTGAATTAGTCTGCAGTGCCTTTCATGTTCCTTGATTGGTGTTTGGACACTGCGTTTTATGGTCACGATGTAGGCTTGTCCACAGCTCCAGACTAATTCAGCCAGAGAAGTCACTCATAGCAGAGCACCTGATGAAACAACCTGGACACAGCATATTATTTGAGAACAGAGAAATGATGGACCACTGTCACAACCACCATGTCAGACTACACAGAGAAGCCATTGAAATCCACACAAAGCACGTGGACAATTTTAACAGAAAGGAAGAAACTGTGAAAATGAACAAAATCTGGGCTTAGTTGATAAAATCTGGGCTTGGTTGATTAAAAAAAAAAGGTTCAAAGCTCGTTTCAGATGTAGGTGGCACTGGTGGTTCAATTCTAAAGTCACTTCTGATTTTTTAAAAAATCAAAACTTTCCAAAACTCTGAATCGATTCTTTAATGGCAGACACGAATGTGCAGTAGGAACAAAACAGCACTGGCACTGGGGAAGCTTTCGGGGGATTCTCCCTCCCTCATTATGATGAAACTTGCCAAAATGGTAGAACACATGGACAACTGTTAGCTCACCAAATTTCATTACCTTTGACTTATCCATGGATATTTCAAAGTTTTTATAAAAAATATTTTTAATATTAAATAAAATCTGTTCCTGGTTTGAAAATGTTATTTCCTGTTTCATTGGGTGGTCTTTCCTTTGAAAGTAGTTGTTCTACTCCAGAAACTTTGTTTGTGTGGCACAAACTGTGTTAAATTGGTGGAGAACAGAAATCATCGTACACACCCCATCAAGGGACATCTAGGCTGACCCCCTTCTTCCGGGCAGAAAGGCACCATCCAAACTCTCCTGACATCCATTTGCTTCCTCTACTGAGCTGGAGGGGACCCTCAAGACACATCCATCTGTTTATTCCTATTTGCAGGTTCAATCGATCATTTTATTTTATCATTACTTAATGACGTAAAAGGCTGGCTACCCCAGTACCTTGTTCATGGCAATCAGGCCAAAATGAAATTATTAGTTTTTAAGCAGTGTATGTTCTCTTGGCTTTGCAAAAGTTGCTTATTGCTTTGCTGCCTTCTTTAGACACCTTTGTAGATTCAATCAGTTTATTTTATATTTAGTTGAAGACTGTTACAGACAGCTATAGGGGAGGGGTCCTTCAGCCATTGTGGCTAATGTAGTTTAACAGCAGGGCCTCTTGCAATCTCTACCATTGGGGGCCTGGCCTTCACAAACTACAACAATGGCTGTGCTTAGCCACGCCCACCTCATCCCGCCCTTGCATCGCCAGGGAGGGAAAGCATGAGATTTTAAAACTTAGGCTTTACCAATTCTCTCACAATCACTTGCAATCACTCCTGACACGACAAAAAAACCCAAAAAAAAACCAAAGTTGCTTAATCGTTCTGAAAATTAAAATAACCTTGGGAGACATCCAAACATTATGGAATATTTCTGGGGGGAAAAATGTTAGTGGTTCAAATTTGGATTTGCCCCTCCCACCTTGCCTGCATGGTTCAAAAATGCTTCAAAGTAAAAAGTCTGAAGTTTTTTATGAGTTTCAGGCTCTTCCGAACGAACCTATCCAATCCTACTGGCTATGTGTATTAAAAAACCCCTCTAAAATCAGGACAGTAAAGAAAGAGCAACACTAAAAAAAAGGGAATGTCAGACAGGAAACAATCAGAGCCAACTAACACCTCCCAACAAAGGATTCCCTCGGCAGGAAGCAGCCAGACTTTGAAGCTGTCAGGCTAATCAGTGCTAATCAAGGTGGCCAATTACAACATTCACACCTGGCTCAAACAGACAAGAGTTCTTTTTCCCACCCTGGACATTCCACAGATATATAAACCCCACTTGCCTCATTTCCAACAGACCTCACAACCTCTGAGGATGCCTGCCATAGATGTGGGCAAAATGTCAGGAGAGAATGCTTCTGGAATATAGCCATACAGGCAGAAAACTCACATCAACCCAATGATTCCAGCTATGAAAGCCTTCAGCAACACATATTTCTTGTTTCATTGTGCGGTCCTTACTTTGAAAGTAGTTGTTCTACTCCAGTAACTTTGCTTTTGTGTCTTCCACAAACTAGGTTGAATTGGTTGACACTCGATGATGGAAAAACTATTGCAAAATGTGCTGCACAATATTCCTCCTACCAAAAAAAACCCCATTCCCCATGTTCTTCTGGTAGAACCAATTAGGAATTGACATTTATAACCCAGGACCAAAAATTGCGTGACATAGTGTAATGATATCCTTTCAGATATTTAGTCTCAGTCTTCTATTCTCTAAGCCAAACCTACCCAGTTTTGTGAGAGGAAATGTCCCAGCAGTTTTCTCACATTTCGTAATTCATAAATAATTTGAAGACACACAACAACAAGAAAGTAGAACACAAGCCTCTGGAAGCATTCACTACATTTAATTGGAATACTTTTCATCTGCAACTCATAGGTGGCACTTTCTACATTACATAGCTTTTGGGAGCCACACACTACATTTCTGTCGAATGAGCTGGACTAGACCTACCAGGCACCTAATTATGAATGTCACGAACATGGGGACAAATAATTCATTTCATAGCTACAGTTACATTTACTGCTATAGAAAAGAGAGTGACTTGTTGAGTTTGCAGTCTCCTGTATCAAAACAATGTGGCTGGCCTTGGATATTAGTATGTACCATTACATCAGAAGATCAGAGGTAGCCCTTGTAGTCCATTTTGGACAGTCCTGCCAATGCAGTAACTCACTGTATGTCAGAATGTGGTCACAAGAATTTAAGTGTGCCATGTACTTTCTGTGTATTTGTTGTAACAGTCGGAGAATTGAAAAAGACCTTTTCTCTTGAGAGGCGAGAACTTCAAGCTGGGTATATTGATTACTTCTTAAAATCCATTTTGTTTATATATTTTTTTCTCAGATGTTGACACATTTGCCTATAAAACCAAAAAGGAACATCACAGAATATCAAAAGAATCCTTCACTCAAGGTGATTTAAAACACCTCCCTGAACTAAATCCTCCTGCATTCATGCCTTATGGGAATGTAGGAACTCCTCTGAGAGTCTTCTTGGATCTCATCAAAGCTTGCCGGATGCCTTCCAGTATTATCAGGAAGCTACAGTTGCAGTTCCCCAAATCAGGTTCTTCTCGCAGATATGGAAAAGTGCCATTTACCTATAAGGAAACTGAGACTGTTGTAGAAGAGGAGCGAGTGTACACAGCTACCGGTGAGGAGGTCACAGAAGGAGAGCCCCTGCCAAAAGAAGGAATGGCCAATCATGATGGAAGCACCGAGGAGAAAGACTGGGAAGATGCAGGGGAGGAAGAAGCAGCAGAGTCTCCACAGAACAGCGTAAGTACTTTACTCTGGTTAGAAGATGTGAAAACATATTTTTAGCTCTTGTAGAGATGTAATCTAATGAAGGAGGGAGTGATTTTGTGGATATTCAGTATTTGTTGTTTGCCTTCAAATCGGTTCTGACTTATGGAGACCCCAAGGTGAACATATCACACTGTTTTCTTGGTAAGAGGGGGCTTGTCTTTGCTTGAGGTTGAGAGAGTGTGATTTGTCCAAGGTCACCCAATGGGTTTTCATGGCCATTTTTTTTTTAGTCATGTCAGGAGCAGCTTGAGAAACTGCAAGTTGCTTCTGGTGTGAGTGAATTGGTCATCTGCAAGGACGTTGCCCAGGGGACGCCCGGATGTTTTGATGTTTTATCATCCTTGTGGGAGGCTTCTCTCATGTCCCTGCATGAGGAGCTGGAGTTGATAGAGGGAGCTCATCCGCCTCTCCCCGGATTCGAACCTGCGACCTGTTGGTCTTCAGTCCTGCCAGCACAGGGGTTTAACCCACTGTGCTACCAGAGGCTCCATGGCCATGAAGTGATATCATTCAAATACAATAGTAATATTAAGTCTATCACAATGAGGATGCTTCCCGGGAATGTAGCATTATTCATATACATACATAAAATTGGGTTTTTAAAAAAGTATGTGATCTTGTTTCATTTTCTTAGTGTTATATACCAATAGGTGGCTGTTCACTAACAAAAATATAAGGCATTTCTTGTTATACCCACTATGGAGTATCTCCTGAAATGAAGTGTGTTTGAAATAAGTTTGGTGTTCACAAGCCTCCATCCTCTTTTCATCTGATCATATGCATATAGAACAGGAGTTATGGGGTTTTCCAAATGTTTTTGGCCTCCTATTTCCCATATCTCCCACCAATGATTATGCTTGCTAGGACTGGTAAGAGTTCAAAATATCTGGAAGACACACTATTACCCACCTCTGGGGTAGATATAATACTTGAGAAATGCATCTTCCAGGTGCTACAGTACTGGTTGTTCTTTGAGGCAAAGCTAGAATTAAGCAAGGCAGAATATGTGTTAAATAGAAAGAGCACCTGTGCTGGACCTGCACTAGTTCCAGATCCTTTTGTCTGACTTCCTTGGCCATAGTTTTAAAGCAGTTGCTTTTATGCTAGTTTTTATGAGGGTGGAGTTTAGGAAATCCCTTCCTGGTTTGTGTCAGCCAGTTTGTTTGCCCTTTGCCTGAGGAAAAAGGAACTGTTTGTGTCAGTTGGTTGGCCACGCCCCTTTACCTGAGGTAAAGGAGCCATTTTAGATCATAGACCACCAGGGAATCCTTGAGGCAGGACGTGTCTTCGGTTGGTCCCAGAGATTCAGGCTTGAACAAGACATTTCAAGTCAATACTATATAACCAGTTACTTCATAACCAGTTGTACTTATAACCAATTATATTACCTACAACCAGTTACTTCAGACCAGTTACCTACTACAACCAGTACCTCAACCAATTAGTTAAACAACGACTGGTTAACACCTTAGGCATTGGGCGTCTCAGACTGCCCTATACCAGAGACTGAGAGCAAGGAAAACTGTCAACTATTCTCCTCAGAAACATTCACGTCTGGCAGCTTCAGAATCATTAAGCTACCTTCCAAGTTTTAAATATTATTTATTTACTTACTTACTGTATTTGTATATTGCCTTTCTCAGCCCATAGGCGACTCAAGGCGGTTTACAGGGCAAAATTCAATGCCTACAGTATCATAAATACAATTAAAAACATAACATATAATAAAAACTATAAGAAATAAATAAAATATAAATCCATAGTGTCACATTGTTAAAAATGCTGTCCGGTCTCATTGTCTAGTTGTTCCATTTTCCTATGTCAGTTAATCTGCATTTGCAAACGCTTGCTCAAAAAGCCATGTCTTGACTTTTTTCCGGAATGTTAAAAGGGAGGGTGCTGATCTAATATCTATAGGGAGGGCGTTCCACAGCCGAGGGGCCACCACTGAGAAGGCCCTTTCTCTCAGCTCCTCCAAACGTACTTGTGATGAAGGCGGTAACAAGAGCAGGGTCTCCCCAGACGATCTTAAGGTCCTAGATGGTTCATAAGGGGAGATGCGTTCAGACAAGTAAGTTGGGCCAGAACCTTTTAGGGCTTAGTTGAACTTAGTTGTGGGGAAATCAAGCTAGTGCCTGGCTGGAATCAGATTGAAGATCTGTTAATAAATCGTTACCTTTTCCTCAAAGCAACAGCATGGACATTAATTTTGTGAGGTTCCTTGTTCCAAAAGAAGGCAATCTAGCATCCCAAAAGCTGACAGAGAGTTAAGACACATTAATGCCAAAGAGACCTTAAAAGCAGCTTGAGTGTGACAGAACATTGACTTGAACAGCTAGCTGCCATCCTGCTTGGGCCTGGTCTTCTATGGCCATATAAAGAGACAGAGGCCATAATGGTAAGACAGGGAGGGTAAAGCTCTCTATAGACATTCAGACCAACTATTGTCTGAGCAACCCATCCCACCTGGCTGATTAGGAATACATTTCCTCTACTAGAATTATTGAAGGGAGGAGTTGGTTAAAGGATACTGAACCCAACCTTAGATGTCCTGTTATTCTGTCCCCCCACTTCTTTGCTACAGGAATCAGATGATGATAGATGTGAAGAGTGGGAGAGACACGAGGCTTTGCATGAAGATGTCACAAGCCAGCAACGAATCAAGGAGCGCCTCTACGAGGAGGAGATTGAACTGAAATGGGAAAAGGGAGGCTCTGGGTTGGTTTTCTATACAGATGCACAATATTGGCAACAAGAGGAAGAAGGAGGTAACAACTAAAGACATACTAACCTTTGAAGAATTCTTTTTTAACCCTAATCCATCATCATCATAATCACTTTATTTCTTAATTAGTCGCTCTCCACCAAGGTGCTCTGAGCGACTTACAATTTAAAACAGTTTATACACAATATAAAACATTCAATATAAAAACATTCAATATAAAAACATTCAACATAAAAACATTCAACATAAAACATTCAACATAAAAACATTCAGCAGTGACTATGGCAAAATTTGATCCGGTAATTTAATGCACAACCAAACAGCCAAGTCTTGAGCGCCTTTGCAAAAGGTCGCAACTCCGACATTGCTCTAATATATGGAGGCAATGAGTTCCACAGAATTGGAGCATAGATCGAAAAAGCTCTACGCCTTGTAGCTTCCAAATGTGCCTCCCTAGGACCCGGTATGTATAGGAGATTTTCCTGGGTGGATCGAGGTGACCACTGATGGGGAAAAGGAATGAGGTGGTCCCTAAGATATAAAGGTCCTTGGCCATTTTGAGCTCTAAATGTCAGGATAAGTATCTTGTAAGACATCCGATGTTCTATTGGTAGCCAATGCAGTTGTTGCAGAATCAGTGTAATATGGGATCTTATAGATGATCCCGCTAGCAGCCTGGCTGCCGCATTTTGGACCATCCGAATCTTCTGGGTCGTTGACTTCGGAAGGCCAGCATATAAGGCATTGCAATAGTCCAACCTCGTGGTGACTGTTGCGTGGATTACTGTTGCCAATGCTTCTACCGAAAGGTAGGATGCCAATTTCCTTGCCTGGCGAAGATGAAAAAAGGCCTGCTTACTTATGGCAGTGATCTGGGCCTCCATCATCAGCGATGAGTCCAAAACAACCCCAAGGCTTTTAACAGTGGCAGACGGAACCAGAGCTAATCCAGCCTGCAGTCAGCTTGCAGAAGCCCTTTGGTTAATGCAATATCAGGAAATATTAGATAAGTGGTTTGAAATACTGAAAACTGCTCCTGGCATATATCTTTCTTGATTACATACAGGAGTCTTGATGTTCCTTTTCTTTCTTTCTTTCTTTAAAACGGGGGTTCTCAAACAGATGTGGCCCCCCAAGGTCACTTACCTGGCTCTCCCTCAGGGTCAACCTAAGTCTGAAATGACTTGAAAGCACATAACAACAACAACAATCCTATCTCATCAGCCAAAAGTATGCCCATACTTCCCACTGAAATACTAATAAGTTTATATTTGTTAAAATTGTTCTTAATTTTAATTATTGTATTGTTTTTAAGTGTCTTTTGTACTACAAATAAGATATGTGCAGTGTTCATAGGAATTCATTCCTATTTTTTCAAATTGTAATCCGACCCTCCAACAGTTTGAGGGACTGTGACCTGGCCCTCTGTTTAAAAAGTTTGAGGACCCCTGATTTAAAACATTTATATTCTGCCCTTCTCACCCCAAAGGGGACTCAGGGCAGAGCACAGCATATACACGGCAAACATTAAATGCCGGGACACAGATTCACATACAATACATAAACATTAAAAACATTTATCAAAATATTAAAATACACCATTTAAAACCGTCCTAGTCATCCGCATCAAATCATTGGCCTGGTCATCTTTCCTATTGCTGCTTTATTGCCCTGTCCCGAAAGCTTGGTCCCACAGCCAAGTTTTTACTATCCTTCTAAAGGACAGGAGGGAGGGGGCCGACTTGATCTCACCAGGAAGGGAGTTCCATATCTGCTATGCAATCACCGAAAAGGCCCTGTCTCTCGTCCCCACCAATCGATGGTTCATAGGGGGAGATGCTTTTGGACAGGTAATTTGGGCCGGGGCCGTTTAGGGCTTTATAGGCCAAAGCCAGCACTTTGAATTGTGCCCAGTAGCAAACTGGCAGCGAGTGGAGCTGGCGTAACACAGGAGTTGTATGCTCCCTGTATGCCGCCCCGGTTATTAACCTGGCTGCCTCTCGTTGGACTATTTGAAGCTTCCGAGCAGTCTTCAAAGGCAACCCCACGTAGAGTGCGTTGCAGTAGTCTGCCTCTATATGTCTCAGATCCTTTGGTGCTGAGGTCACTATATTATGTTCTTTCTGACTTCCATTGCCCACTGGGAGGGACATGCCTTCTGGCTCATGCCTATCTTTATTATTGCTTTTTCCTATCTCTGTGTCATCTTTTTCCTATTGCTACACAATCTTTTCCCTATCTCGGACCTGACGCCCCTATCTGCCTTCTGTCAGATACGAGGCTCAGTTTTTACTCCTTCCACCATCCCTCCATATCCTCAATGATTGGTTGGCATCAGACAGGGTTGCCCAGCTCCTCTCTTCACTGTTGATCATGATAAGCCAGACAGTGTTAAAATACTGATCCAAACATTGGCAGAATCCCTAAAACATTTGGGCATGGCGATTGTGCTGCTCACAAGAGCAATGTTTAGCTGGTACAGACTCATGGCTTCACATGTCACTTTTCTTTTGACAGATTTTGATGAGCAGACAGCAGATGACTGGGATGTAGACATGAGCATCTACTATGACAAAGGTATTTGAATTAAATGTCTCCATTTATGATGACTGGGATGTAGAGAGATTAAGTTGGCATAGCATACACCATACAAACTTTCTCGTAGTGCAATTGAAAAGTATTAGGTTTGTCTTTCTGGCTGGGATGGAGCATCACAAGATTTTGCATTGTCACCTTTTAATACTCCAAGCACAATTCAAGGTAGTGTGTGTGTGTGTGTTGACCACCCTGCCTTCCCATAGATCATGGTCAGTCTACAAAGGAGCTACTGGGGCGTTGATATAACACACATGTCAGTGATCCTTTCATCCCTCCCTCATCTCAGTGTCTCACCTGTACCCAGCTCAAAATGACACATAAAACTTTGTATTGTAATGTTCTATTGCTATGTATGAACAGAAACCATTTCCTACTTCCCATGTTGGAAATAGCAACCGCATAGCCTTTCACCATTTATTTGTTAATGTATATATTTGCTTACCTGTATTTTATGTGCATGTTGACTTCCCAGTTTGACTTAGCTCTTTGGTGTGGGAGGGCTTATAGACATCTGATTGTACTGAGCATGTTCAGACTCAGGACTCCATTTTATATTCAGTTTTGTGTTCAGTTTTCTATTCTACATCAAAGAAACAACTATCCTCTGCTTATCTATATAAATAAAAATGTAATGTTCGTTTATGGGATTAACAGAACTCAAAAACCATTGGACAAATTGACACCAAATTTGGACACAAGACACCTAACAACCCAATGTATGTCCTTAACTTTAAAAATTTGATTTTGTCATTTGGGAGTTTTAGTTGCTGGGATTTATAGTACACCTACAATCAAACAGCATTCTGAACTCCACCAATGATGGAATTGAACCAATATTGGGACACAGGGCTCCCATGACCAACAGAAAATACTAGAAGGGTTTGGTGGGCATTGACCTTGAGTTTGGCAGTTGTAGTTCACCTAAATCCAGAGGGCACTTTGGACTCAAACAATGATGGATCTGGACCAAACTTGACACGAATCCTCAATTTGCCCAAATGTGAATACTGGTGGAGTTTGGGGGAAATAGACCCTGACATTTGGGAGTTGTAGTTTCTGGGATTTATAGTTCACCTACAATGAAAGGGCGTGCTGAACCACCAGCGACAGAATTGGGGCAAACTTCCCACACAGAACCACCATACTTAAGGCCATCCAGTCCAACTCCCTTCACCGGGGCAAGAAAACGTAATCAAAGCCCTCCTGACAAAGACCCATCCAGCCATAAATATAGATAGATATATATGATTCACACACAGAGATATAGTATCATAGATTTCAAAGGGACCCCTAAAGAAGGACAATTATATGTTGCATGTTCCAGAGTAGGCCAACCAGACCATCTCCACATCAACACTGACATAGAAACAGCAAGGAATACTGTTTACCCACAAGCATAAAGGAATTACATATATTAGAAACCATTGTTTTATTTTCCGGATCACCAGACGGGGCCACAGCAACGCGTGGCAGGGGGCGGCTAGTCAAATATATTTTTGTAGTGGCATGTCTTTATCCTTGGCAGTTTAAATACATGGTTCTTCAGTTAACATCTGAGTTACCTGTGTGCCATTACATGAATGCTTGTGAATATCACTTGCTCAAAGAGTTGACTTCTAACAAGGTCATGCTTTTCTTGACTTGTAGTTTTCAAAAGGTGGTCTCCACATGTTCATGGAGATTCACATTTGCCAAACGGATGTGACATCATTTTTACCTTTTTCAATGAGGTTATGGTGCAGTTATTTTCAATAAGTTATGGAATTTCTAATATCTCCTACCTTTTATAGGTCAAGCCATCCATATATGGTTGTTTACCAGACTCTTTTTTTAAAATGTTGCAGTTGTTACACCATTTGATGTCTGAAACATTTTCCAATCTACTGCAATGATACAGCCTTCCCATACCTTTCCCATTGACTGTCTTGGGCTCCAACCTCCGATTTCAGGGATTCTTGCTTAATAAATCTGTTAGCACTGATTTAGAATGGTTTCACTGAGCTATAAGCTCTCTTTCTGTTTCATAGCTCTTGGCTTTTTTCCTGAGCAGAGACTGATATGGGATTTCTCTTCATTCCAGATGGTGGTGATAAGGATGCTCGCGATTTTGTCCGGATGCGGCTTGAGCAGAGGCTTCGGGATGGTTTGGAAGATGGGTCTGTTGCAGGACAAACAATTGGGAACTTTGAAAAATATACCAAGGTAAGAAATGAAATTGTGTGAAGCAATGGGGAAGGTCCTTCAGTGTTCCTAATAGAGCAGATTTTGAAGAACCTAGCTTGCTTCATTTTCTAGACCAAGAGAACTGAAAGTTGATTTCAATATAAAGACTTGTTTGGCATTCCAACCATCCTTCTCTAATAATAGTGACTGTGTATAGATGGAAACTTCATTATTATTATTTTCTTGAATCAGTAACTTTAGAAATTCTTCTCCCTCTTTCAGGGCATCGGCAGGAAAGTGATGGAGAAACAGGGCTGGACTGAAGGCCTTGGTCTGGGAAGCAGCAATTCAGGGATGCCGGAAGCACTGATTGGTGATGGCCAAAATCCCAAATGCAAGAGGGGCTTGGGGTAAGTGAGGGGTAAAAAGGTTAATGTTTTCCCTTACATTAAATCTAGTCGTGTCCATCTCTGGGGGGTGGTGCTCATCTCCATTTTTAAGCCGAAGAGCTGGCGTTGTCCATAGACACCTCCAAGGTCATGTGGCCAGCATGACTGCATGGAACACCATTACCTTCCTTCAGAAGTGGTACCCATTGATCTACTCACATTTGCTTGTTTTCAAACTGCTAGGTTAGCAGAAGCTGGGCCTAACAGTGGGAGCTCACCCCCGCTCCCCAGATTCAAACCGCCAACCTTTTGGTCAGCAAGTTCAGCAGCTTAGCGGTTTAACCCACTGTCCCTCCAGGGAGCTATAAGTGATGGATTGCCACCTTAAAAATACCTAGTTACTGTATATACTCGAATATAAGCCTAGTTTTTCAGTTCTTTTTTAAGGCTGAAAAAGTCTCCCCCGGTTTATACTCGAGTCAATGTTATTTATTATTTTATTTTGTTGTTGTTGTTGTTACATTTATTATTTTATTATTGTTATTATTACATTTATTATTTTACTTTATTATTATTTTACTCTATTTATTATTATTGGAGGACATGTAAGCATGTTTACATTGAAGAAGGTTAGAATAATGGTTTAATCAGAGTTGGACAGTCTTATCTTGATTTGCAGTTTTATGTGAATATTCAAAAACATTTAACCTACTAATGCCTAAATTAATATAATTTTATTGGTATCTATTTTTATTTTGAAATTTACTATTAGTTGCTGCATTTCCCACCCTCAGCTTATACTCGAGTCAATACATTTTCCCAGTTTTTTGTGGTAAAATTAGGTGCCTTGGCTTATATTCGGGCTGGCTTATACTCAAGTATTTACTGTAATTTTTTAATATTTCTGACATATATGGGGGCTCAAAAACCCATTCTGGGGTCTTTATTGCTCACATTGTATTATAACATAATTCCTCATTATATTATTTTTGGAAGAATCTTTAAATCTGGGGACCAGTCGGTGGGGACCAAGAACTACACTAAACCTCACCCTCGGGCTGCTTACTAGCCATGGGCCACAGAGATCTCACATCTGTGGACTATTGTGTGACTTGCATCTATTACATCTAAAATGAAATGGATCCTTTGGTTGTCAGGACAAACACAATTTGCCTTCTCTGTGTTTCTGAAAATTGTGACTCTTCCTAACCTTTCCTTTAGGTACCATGGTGAGAAGCTCCAGACTTTTGTCAAACCCAAGAAGCCTCGGCAAGATGGCCGTCCACTGATCTCCACCATCTATGACGACCCCCATCCGGAGGACGGAAAAGAGCAGCTGCTTCGGCGTCAGCTTCCGATCAGCTTGAAGTATCGGCAAGATGTGGACTTTTCCCATGACATTCATAGTTTTCACAGGGGCTCTGATTGGTCCTGAGAGACTACCACTAAGGACTGACTTGTACTTCTGCAACAGCATTTTAAAAATTTATTCTATTTGTGTGGTTTTTAAAAAAATAACAGATGTAATTAACCACATTTGGACCAAAAACTAATTAAAAAAAACATAAGTACTTTATGGATACTTTTTTAAAAAGGGCTAAAACCTACAACTTACTCATTAGGTTTCCACTTCCTGGTTCAAGAGATCTGCTAGAACAGGGCTTACTTACTTACTTAGGCGATCCCTCGCTTTCCGAGGATGATTGTCTTCCAATATTCTTGTGGGTCCGTATGTGGCTGTGGAGCCCTATTCTTGCTCTGCATCTTCTTCCACAGTGAGGGCATTGGTTTCCAGGTGGAAGGCGGTCTCGGTCAGGGTTGGCTTGATGCGCCTTCCTCTTGGCACGTTTCTCTTTTTCACCCTCCACTCGTGCCTCCTCAAATTTTGCAGCACTGCTGGTCACAGCTGACCTCCAGCTGGAGCAGTCAAGGGCCAGGGCTTCCCAGTTCTCAGTGTCTATGACAGAGTTTTTAAGGTTGGCTTTGAGCCCATCTTTAAATCTCTTTTCCTGTCCACCAACATTCCGTTTTCCGTTCTTGAGTTCGGAGTAGAGCAACTGCTTTGGGAGACGGTGGTCGGGCATCCGGACAACATGGCCGGTCCAGCGGAGTTGGTGGCGGAGGACCATCGCTTCAATGCTGGTGGTCTTTGCTTCTTCCAGCACGCTGACGTTTGTCCGCTTGTCTTCCCAAGAGATTTGCAGGATTTTCCGGAGGCAGCGCTGATGGAATCGTTCCAGGAGTTGCATGTGACGTCTGTAGACAGTCCACGTCTCACAGGCATATAGCAGGGTTGGGAGGACAATAGCTTTATAAACAAGCACCTTGGTATCCCTACGGATGTCCCGGTCCTCAAACACTCTCTGCTTCATTCGGAAAAATGCTGCACTTGCAGAGCTCAGGCGGTGTTGTATTTCGGTGTCAATGTTGACTTTGGTGGAGAGGTGGCTGCCAAGGTAGCGGAAATGATGAACATTTTCATTTTCAGGGCTTACAGCTATGATATCAGAAATGATTGGAGTCCCTTTCAGGATGTTGTAATTCTCATCCTGAAGGAGGCACAGCTAATGAGAGAGCCAGGAAAACCTATGGAAAACCTGTTTTTCCTGAAGCACCCAGCTCTTGGCTATGGAGGGCTATTGAGGGGTTACAAATCTCCCATTTCATTTCAAGGTATTGAAGCAGTTTATGCCATGTCATCTCTAGGCATTTTAGGCTGACACTAATTACTGTATATACTTGAGTATAAGCAGAGCTTTTCAACCCTTTTTTTAGGCTGAAAAAGCCCCCTCGGCTTATACTCGAGTCAAGATTATTTATTATTTTACTCTGTTATTACTATTATTTTTATTATTTTACTCCATTTATTATAATACTATAACATTTACATTAATTTACTCTATTATTTTTATTCTTTTTCTATATTTATTATTACATTTATTATTTTACTCTGTTATTACTGTTATTACATTTACATTATTTTACTCTATTATTATTGGAAAAATACATAAGCACATTTACATTTAAGAAGGGTAGAATAATGGTTTAATAAGAGTTAGAAAATCTTATCTGAAATTACAGTTTTATGTAAATATTGAACTTACGGATGCCTCAATTAATATAATGTTATTGGTATCTATTTTTATTTTGAAATTTACCAGTAGTTGCTGCATTTCTCACCCTCAGCTTACACTCGAATCAATACATTTTCCCAGTTTTTTGTGGTAAAATTAGGTACCTTAGCTTATATTTGGGTCAACTTATACTCGAGTATATAATAATAATAATAATAATAATAATAATAATAATAACAACAACAACTATTTTTATACTCCACCTCCATCTCCCCGAAGGGACTCGGGATGGCTTACAAAGGGACAAGCCCGAAAAAACAGATTAAAACACAGTGCAATAAAGTAAAATAAAAAACCAAAATCAAAATATCAGACATAAAATAAACAATATACAGTATTTAAACCAATTTTTAGTCCTGCTTCCAGCCTGGTTTCAAAACAAAAACTGCTTTGATTGAGGAAGTATTGATCCTATTGGTTCCCAACACCTGTTGATCACTTTTACCATGATATTCTTTTTGACTTTATTTTAGATACGTAAAAATAACAGAAGGCATAGTTTTCAGTATAAACATGGGGATTACATTCAAATCCCTATTCAGAAGTAACTTAAGTGTAATGAACATAAACCTAAATAGGAATATAAACATAACACTGGCACATTTCAGTTACCTTATTTCATCGCATAATAGTTGCACCCCCATTTTTGGGGTAGTAAAATTTATATTTTTGTGTTCTTTGCATAATAGTCACAGAGCCATTTAGAGCTAACTCCTTCCTTCTTTCTCCAAGGCAAGGCACTTTTAAAAACCTGAAATTGAGGTCTCTGGAACTTGGATCTTCCGTCCTTTCAAGAGCTTCATTTCAGATTTTGTAAACTGCCTTTCCTTCTGAGAAAAAGGGGAGGGGAATTTTACCTCCTCCTTTCTCAGAAGCAAAGTAGTTTAAAATAAAAATAAACTGGAATGTTTGTTTGAGGCACTATGATCCCTACTCCTACTCCTCCCTCATTTTATTTAAAACAGTGTTTCTCAACCTTCCTAATGCCGCGACCCCTTAATACAGTTCCTCATGTTGTGGTGACCCCCAACCATACAATTATTTTTGTCGTTACTTCATAACTATAATTTTCATACTGTCATGAATTGTAATGTAAATATCTTATATGCAGGATGTATTTTCATTCACTGGACAAAATCTGGCACACATACCCAATAAGGCACCCAAATTTGAATACTGGTGGGATTGGAGGGGTTGATTTTGTCATTTGGGAGTTGTAGTTGCTGGGATTTATAGTTCACCTACAATCAAAGAGCATTCTGAACTCCACCAACGATGGAATTGAACCAGTCTTAGCACACACAACTCCCATGACCAAGAGAAAATACTGAAAGAGTTTGGTGGGCATTGACCTTGAGTTTTGGAATTGTAGTTCACCTACATCCAGAGAGCACTGTGGACTCAAACAATGATGAATCTGGACCAAAACTTGGCACGAATACTCAATACACCCAAATATGAACACAGATGGAGTTTGGGGGAAATAGACCTTGACATTTGGGAGTTGTAGTCACTGAGATTCACAGTTCACCTACAATCAAAGAGCGTTCTGAACCCCACGAACGACAGAATCGAGGCAAACTTCCCACACTGAACCCCCATGACCAACAGAAAATACTTAAGGTCATCCAATCCAACTCCCTTCATCAGGGCAAGAAAATGTAATCAAAGTCCTCCTGACAAAGAGCCATCCAGCCATAGACAGAGATAGATAGATCGATAGATAGATATGATTCACAAACACACATACAGAGATATAGTATCATAGATTTGAAAGGGACCCTTAAAGAAGGACAATGATATGTGGCATGTTCCAGGGTGGGCAAACCAGACACTCTCCACATCAACACTGACAAAGAAACAGCAAGAAATACTGTTTACCCACAAGCAGGAAGACATTACATATATTAGAAACCAACACTTTCTCATTACTTTATTTTCCAGATCAACAAACTGGGCCACAGCAAGGCGTGGCAGGGGACAGCTAGTACAATATAAAAATATAAAAACCATACAAAGCCTTAAAACATTACCATGTCAAGTCATTATTCCATTGCGTTATCAAGTAGTTCCATAATTCCATATAGCTATGCCGTATTTGGGAAGGCCTGCTCAAAAAGCCAGGTTTTCCCCTTTTTTTGAAAAGTCAAGAGGGAGGGAGCCGATCTTATATCTCTAGGCAGGGCGTTCCACAGTTGAGGGGCCACCGCTGAGAAGGCCCTGTTTCTCAACCCCCACCAGACGCATCTGCTAGGAAGGGGGGACTGAGAGCAGGGCCTCCCCAGTTATTAACACCAAGTTGTGCCAGTCAGACAAAAGCTGACTGGCACAACCTGGGGATCTCAACCAGTCACAAGGAAGACATCTGCTCTTACGCTTTGCTGCTCTGCTGCTGAATATGCATGCCCAGTTTAGAACAGATCTCACCACGTTAAAACAGTAGATGTGCCACATTATCACAGGATGTCTACACCCCACACCTTAAGAAATGGGGCTACAAAGTGCAATCCATGACATGTGAGTGTGGAGAAGAGCAAACTACAGACCACCTGCTGCAATGCAACCTGAGCCCTGCTACATGCACAATGGAGGACCTTCTTATAGTAACACCAGAGGCACTCCAAGTGGCCAGATACTGGTCAAAGGACATTTAACCAACTACCAAGTTTGCAAAATCTGTGTTTTGTTTGTTTGTTAAAAAATGCAATACAACTGTTTGGCTTGCTCTTGACACGATAAATAAATACGCCCCACACTACTGGAGAAATTATACTGTTTAGCTTGTACTTCACCACCTGACATCTGCTGGGAAGTAGCAGCCAGCAATGAAAGGACCAAGGCAGTGACATCTCCAGCGCATCCTCTGTTTAGATATCACACCGCTGTTGTAAATCAAGAAGCAGCTTTCTAAGATCTATTATTATTATTATTATTAACTTTATTTGTACCCCGCTAACATCTCCCGCAGGACTCGATGCGGCTTACAAAGGCCAAGGCCCTTAATAAAACAACAGCATAACAATACACATAACATTTCATGCAAATCAAAATGTTAAGCAATAACAGTAAATAATAAGACAATATACCATAACACGATAAAACTAGGGCCGGGCCAAATGTAATGGGTACAGATTAAAAAGTGCTGAGTATGACAGGTGAAAAGTAGGGTAAGTGCAATGTGCAGACAATCTTAAATCTCTACTAAAGTGCTTCTGGGACATATTGCTGTAGTTTCCTATTCTGGAAAGGCACACCGGAACAGCCAGGTCTTCAAGCTCTTCCTAAAGACTGCCAGTGTAGGAGCTTGTCTGATGTCCTTGGGGAGGGTGTTCCAAAGTCGGGGGGCCACCACAGAAAAGGCCCTGTCCCTCGTCCCCACCAGACGTGCCTGCGACGCAAGTGGGATCGCGAGCAGGGCCTCTCCAGATGAACGAAGAGAACGCATGGGTTCATAGACGGAGATGCGGTCACACAGGTAGGCAGGTCCCAAACCGTTTAAGGCTTTGTAGGTAAGCACCTGCACCTTGAATTGGGCCCGGAAAATGAACGGCAGCCAGTGGAGCTCCTTGAACAGAAGGGTTGACCTCTCTCTGTAAGGAGCACCAGTTAACATCCTGGCCACCGCCTGCTGGACTAACTGAAATTTCCGAGCCATTTTCAAGGGCAGCCCCACGTAGAGTGCATTACAGTAGTCCAATCTAGAGGTGACCAAGGCGTGGACCACCCCGGCCAGATCACCCTTTACGAGGTACAGTTGCAGTTGGCGCACGAGTCTCAATTGTGCAAAAGCCTGAGCCTCAAGCGTAAGTGATGAATCCAAGATGAATCCAAGAGGACTCCCAAACTGCAGACCTGTGACTTCAGGGGGAGTGTAACCCTGTATCTACAGAGATACTTGCAGCAAGACCTCAGCAAGCAAGAGTCCAAAAGTGGCAGGCCAAAGCCTGCAAACTCAATCAATGGCTGAGACCGAATGACAGACTCCCTCCTGGGCATGCAGAAGACTGGGCAGCGTGGAAGGTGCTGAATAGACTGCGCTCCGGCACCACAAGATACAGAGCCAACGTTATGAAACGGGGCCACAAAGTGGAGTCCACGACATGCGAGTGTGCAGAAGAGCAAACTACAGATCACCGACTACAATGCAACCTGAGCCCTGCCACATGCACAATGGAAGACCTTCTTACAGCAACACCGGAGGCACTCCAAAAGGTCAGCTTCTGGTCAAAGGAAATTGAGTAGAATGCCAAGTTTTTAATTTTGTGGGGGTTTTTTAATGCATTATAACTGTATTCTCAATTTGCTTCTAACACGATAAATAAATAAATAAATAAATAAATAAATAAATAACAGCGCTCCATGCAGTCATGCCGGCCACATGACCTTGGAGGTGTCTACGGACAACGCTGGCTCTTCGGCTTAGAAATGGAGATGAGCACCACACCCCAGAGTCAGACATGACTGGACTTAATGTCAGGGGACTACCTTTACCTTTACCTTATGGGTGCGTGTAATGCGGCATCTTCCCTGCAGAGGGCGCTCGCCATGTAGGTTATTTTACTGAAGCGACTCCTGGCTTCCTGGAGGTTCCTCGGAACCTTTCCTTCCCCTTCCGTTTCTATCCGGATGAGAATAAAGAGAACACCGGAAGTCACGGATCGTGAGTGAAGCGATCCAACATTGAACCCATTGTGATGGCGGTGAGGGCGGAAGTCCAGGCGTCGTTGAGCCTTGCCTGGCGCGGTCCGATGCTAAAGAAGGTCCGTGTTGCAGCTGCTTGGGAGGTGAGTTGCTTATGTCTTTGCTGGAGAATTGTGCCAGTTTGGCGGCCACGTTAACTGCTACACTCACATGCTATGGATTTCTCAGAGTTTTGGTGCCGCAACAAACTACCAATCAGGACGTGTGGCAATCACAACGGTGTCAAACTGCTATAAATCTGCAGTGTGGACTTTCTCTGAAATGCATCACTTCTGGTTTTCTTTTTGATGCAGTCAGTTTATTATAATGTTTATTAATAATGTTTATTTATGTGTTTATTTCAAATATTTGCCCTTTTTTTACCCCCTAAGGGGGACTCAGGGTGGCTTACAGCTGGAAACAATTCAACGCGCCACATATACACCAATAAACAACAGTTACATAATAACTTAGATTTCAAACCATTTCAAATAGTACAAATAGAATTAGTTGGCATATCAAGTCCGCGTTCTACGATCAACAACTTAATCATAGTCCTTTTTCCATAGCATTATCGTCATTTCTATTGTCAGCTGCTGTCCGAATGCCTGGTCCTATAGCCATGTCTTCAACTTTTTTCTAATTGAACGGAGGGAAACCATTGACCTGATTTCACTGGGGAATGAGTTCTAGAGGCAAGGGGCCACCTCTGAGAAGCCCCTGTCCCTTGTCCCCACCAAGCGCGTTTGCGACGAAGGTGGGATCAAGAGCAGGGCCTCCCCAGAAGATCGTAAGTTTCGAGGTGGGACGTAAGGGGAGATACGTTCAGACAAGTAAGCTGGGCCAGAAACATATAATTTGTGATATGGTAGGTAAAGGTAAAGATTTCCCCCTGACATTAAGTCTAGTCGTGTTTGGTTCTGGGGGTTGGTGCCATTTCTAAGCCAAAGATCCAGCATTGTCCATAGACACCTCTAAGGTCATGTGGCCGGCATGACTGCATGGAGCACCGTTAGCTTCCCGCCGGAGCGGTACCTATTGATCTACTGCCATTTGAATGCTTTCAAACAGCTAGGTTGGCAGCAGCTACAGCTAACAGCAGGAGCTCACCTCACTCCCAGGATTCGAACCGCCAACCCTTCTGTCAGCAAATTCAGCAGCTCAGCAGGTTAACCCACTGAGCCACTAGGTACATGATATGGTACAATTAATTAATTACAACATATATATGCCACCCTTCCCACCCCAAAGGGGACTCAGAGCAGTTTACAAGATATATATATATAATATATATATATATATACACACACACACACACACACATACATACATACAATGTATTATATTATTAGCATAGTACAATATCTGTATTATATACTACCATATTGTACTATACCATTATATTGTAATATTATTAGTAATATTACATGTAATATAAATATATAATTATAATATCATATTATTAGTAGTATTATATTGTATTACATTATAATATTATAAATATATGTATATACAATATATTATATTATATTATATTATATTATATTATATTATATTATATTGTTAGCATAGCACAGGAGACAAGGTGGAACTGTCTTCTGGCCCAGAGAAGCATTTGGTGCTGGGGGGATGGGTCCCCAACTGATGACATATGCAGGAGATGAGATGAGACTGTCCCCTGGCCCCCTCTCTCTTCACTCTGGCCCAGAGCAGCAGTTGGTGCTGGGGGAGGGGTCCCCAACTGATGACATATGCAGGAGACAAGAGGGAACTGTCCCCTGGCCCCCTCTCTCTTCAGTCTCTTTTATATATAATATAATACTAATAGTATAACATGCTGGTAGTGTATTATATATATTGTGGTATGATATAGTACAATATAATAATATAAAATATGATAATTGTATATTATGTATTAAATATATTACTAGTTATATTGCAGTATACGTAAAGGCAGAGGTTTTCCTCTGTCATTAACTCTAGTCGTGTCTGACTCTGAGGGCTGGTGCTCATCTCCATTTCTAAGCCGAAGAGCCGGAGTTGTCCATAGACACCTCCAAGGTCATGTGGCCGGCATAACTGCATGGAGTGTGTTATTATTTTTGCTGTAGATGTGGATTTGTTTTCAGGATTTCGCAGCTGGATCCCAAACACAGTAATGTGTGAACATTTGATATTATACTTTTTGCGTCTCGTTTCTAGGGAAAAGGTTGGCGTCATGGCAGTAAGCCAGAAGCAGCCCGCATTAGCCTTTGGTCAGGCAGTCATTGGACCTCCCGGCTCTGGGAAAACGACCTACTGCTTTGGCATGCAGGAATTCCTTTCTGCAATTGGGCGCAAGATTGCAGTGGTGAATCTGGATCCTGCCAACGATGGGATCCCTTACCCGTGTGCTGTAGACATCTCAGAACTGATCACCTTGGCTGACGTTATGGAGAACCTCAACCTGGGACCCAATGGGGGCTTGATTTATTGCATGGAGTACTTGGAAGCTAATTTGGACTGGCTGCAGGAGAAACTGGCCCAGTTTAAGGGGCATTACTTCTTGTTTGACTGCCCAGGACAAGTGGAGCTCTGCACCCACCACAGTTCCTTGAGAAACATTTTTGCACAGCTTGCGAAGTGGAACTTCAGGGTACGTTTGACAGAGAGTACAAATAGTGACCTGACAAGTGTTGTCGGTTTGCAAGTCACATCAACCCCAAGAAAGCAAAGCCAGTGAGGGAGGATCATATGTATTGCAGGCCAGCAACATCTGGAGGCCCTCACGTTGCCTTCTCTGAGCATTAAGAATTGAAACCATATCATATAGTAAGGCTTTGCTTAAGAATGGGTTTCCAGTGAGAAAATTCTGTGGGGTCAAGCTGATGCTGCAAGCAGTAGTATCTCACAGAGCTTCTGTGTGCCATTACAGCAGCGTTTCTCAACCTAGCGGTCGGGACCCCTGGGGGGGTCGTGAGGGGGCATCAGAGGGGTCACCAAAGACCATCAGAAAACACAGTATTTTCTGTATTGAAGGCTTTCATGGCCGGAATCACTGGGTTGTTGTAGGGTTTTTTTTGGCTATATGGCCATGGTCTAGAGGCATTCTCTCCTGACGTTTCGCCTGTATCTATGGCAAGCATCCTTAGAGGTAGTGAGGTCTGTTGGAACTAGGAAAATGGGTTTATATATCTGTGGAATATCCAGGGTGGGACAAAAGACTCTTGTCTGCTGGAGCTAGGTGTGAATGTTTCAACTGACCACCTTGATTAGAAGACAAGAGTCCTTTGTCCCACCCTGGTCATTCCACAGATATATAAACCCTTTTTCCTAGTTCCAACAGACCTCACTACCTCTGAGGATGCTTGCCATAGATGCAGGCGAAACGTCAGGAGAGAATGCCTCTAGACCATGGCCATATAGCCCGAAAAAACCTACAACAACCCACAGTATTTTCTGTTGGTCATGGGGGTTCTGTGTGCCCAATTCTATTGTCAGTGGAGTTCAGAATACTCTTTGATTGTAGGTGAACTATAAATCCCAGTAACTACAACTCCCAAAGGTCAAGGTCTATTTTCCCCAAACTTCACTACTAGTGTTCACATTTGGGCATATTGAGTATTCGTGCRAAGTTTGGTCCAGATCTATCATTGTTTGAATCCARYGTGATCTCTYGATGTAGGTGAACTACAACTCCAAAYCTCAAGGTCAATGCCCACCAAATCCTTCCAGTATTTTCTGTTGGTCACGGGAGTTCTGTGTGCCAAGTTTGGTTCAATTCCATCATTGYTGGAGTTCAYGATGCTCTTTGATTGTAGGTGAACTATAAATCCCAGCAATTACAACTRCCAAATGACAAAATCAACWWYCCCCACCCACCCKCCCAACCCCACCAGTATTSAGATTTGGATGTATCYGGTATTTGTGCCCAATTTGGTCCAGTGAGTGAAAATACACCCTGCATATCAGATATTTACATTACGATTCATAACAATAGCAAAATGACAGTTATGAAGTAGCAATGAAAGTAATGTTATAGTTGGGGGTCATCACAACACGAGGACCTGTATTAAGGGGTCATGGCATTCGGAAGGTTGAGAACCACTGCATTACAGCATTTTGAATGAAACATCACGTTCTGAGTATGTGGCTCAGGCAATTTAAGTTGTGCCGTAAGCTTGAGCCTCATCTTCATGGATTAGATTGGTTAGAAGACCCACTATAAGAGGTTGTTTAATTATAATTCATGGGCCATTTGCTGACATTATTATCAATATCGGAGCATACAAGGACAGTTTTTCATAGCAATTCATTAAGTTTTATTTTTCAGACAGTTTGTCAAGATTGCTGAGTGTTCAGAAATGAAGAACAGCACTAAGAAGTGATTTAAGTCACCATAGCTACCCTTTTTGAGGCATCTCCAGATGGGACTGCTTTACTAAAATGTGCACTCCCCTTTTCATATATGGTCGGCCCTCCACATTTGTGGATTTGTTTGATAGGTTATTTCTAGGAATCTCTGGGTCCTGTAGCACAATTCTGTGTTCAGTTTCTACCAGAAGTTGACCATAGAGTTATGCTAGAGGACATAATTATCTCAAGGTGCTTCCAGACAGCACTAAATCCCGGGTTTTAAACAGTGGCAAAAAAATCCTGGGACTTCAGAAGAGGTCCACATACAGATCTGTTGGTCCCAGGATTTCTGCCTCCATTGTCCAGACTTTATGCTTTGTTGCAAGATGTAGAGAGATGTGGAGGCTCCCAAGATGGCCGCTGTAAGACTTTAACTGGAAACTTTGGCTTAAAAAAAAACCCTCAACATGCAGATATGCGGAGAATCACTGCAGTAAATCACTGCAAAAGTTTCATTATTTGTCCTGGCCAGAAAAACTGTGCCCTCTACACATTTCATGAAGCATCTGCCACACAAACAAAGTTTACAAGGTAGGACCACTTCTGCCCAAGTCAGCACACACTTTTAAGCCAGGAACAGAACTTTGTCATTATTGACACTTTTTAGAGCCTGGCTGCCTGGCAGATTTGGTTGTGTACTTGTGGCATCAAACAACAGGGTGCTGTTCCTGGATTATTCATGGCTGTTGCGGATTTCTCTTCTTGTGAAAAGATGTACAATGTGGACGAGGAGGCCACAACTTTGTCCTGGCCAGAGAAAATGTGTCCTCCACACATTTCGTGAAGTTTCTGGCACATAAACAAAGTTGTTGCGTTCTACTTATATTTATCGTGTCAGCAGCAGACCAAACAGTTACATTGCATTTTTTAACAAACAGACAAACAAACAAAACACAAAGTTTGCAAGCTTGGTAGTTGATGAAATGTCCTTTGACCAGTAGCTGGCCACTTGCAGTGCCTCTGGTGTTGCTGCAAGAAGGTCCTCCATTGTGCATGTGGCAGGGCTCAGGGTGCATTGCAGCAGGTGGTCAGTGGTTTGTTCTTCTCCACACTCGCATGTTGTGGATTCCACTTTGTAGCCCCATTTCTTAAGGTTGGCTCTGCATCTCGTGGTGCCAGAGCGCAGTCTGTTCAGCGCCTTCCAAGTCACCCAGTTTTCTGTGTTCTCAGGGTGGAATCTCTCATTTGGTATCTGCCATTGGTTGAGGTTCTGGATTTGAGCCTGCCACTTTTGGACTCTCGCTTGCTTTGTGTTCCAGCAAGTGTCTCTGTAGATCTTAGAAAACTATTTCTTGATTTAAGTCATTGACGTGCTGGCTAATATCCAAACAGGGGATGAGCTGGAAATGTCACTGCCTTGGTCCTTTCACTATTGGCTGCTACTTCCCGGCCAATGTCAGGTGGTACAATATCAGCTAAACAGTGTAATTTCTCCAGTGGTGTAGGGCGCAGACACCCCGTGATAATGCGGCATGTCTCATCAAGAGCTACATCTACCGTTTTAGCATGGTGAGATGTGTTCCACACTGGGCATGCGTACTCAGCAGCAGAGTAGCATAGCGCAAGGGCAGATGTCTTCACTGTGTCTGGTTGTGAACCCCAGGTTGTGCCAGTCAGCTTTCGTATGGTATTATTTCTAGCGCCCACTTTTTGCTTGATATTCAGGCAGTGCTTCTTGTAGGTCAGGGCATGGTCCATTGCAGCACACCCAAGGTATTTGGGTGTGCTGCAATGCTCCAGTGGGATTCCGTCCCAGGTAATCCTCAGAGCTCGGGATGCTTGTCTGTTCTTAAGGTGAAAAGCACATGTCTGTGTTTTAGATGGATTAGGGATCAGCTGGTTTTCCCTGTAATAGGCAGTAAGAGCACCTAGAGCTTCGGAGAGCTTCTGTTCAACCATCTCAAAGCTCCCTGCTTGAGTGGTAATGGCACGATCATCTGCATAGATTAAACTCTCTGTCCCTTCTGGCAGTGGCTGGTCATTTGTGTAAATGTTGAACATTGATGGAGCGAGCACGCTCCCCTGAGGCAGGCCATTCTTCTGTTTCCGCCATCTGCTTCTCTGGCCCTGGAACTCAGCAAAAATGCTCCTGTTTTGTAGCAGGTTTTGTAGCCTTCTACTCAAGTGTCACCTTTTTTAGGAACCGACCAAACAGGAACAAACATCTAAAATCAAGGAACAAACAAATAAAAAAATCACGTGATTTCCAATTACAGGGACATACAGACATGTGGAGATCCAGATATTTGGCTCAAAACTGTAATATTCCCAAACCTGGAGGTCTTGCATTTTTTCCCTTTTGTAGCGATTGCTTCCGTGTTTACAGGGAACGGCGTCTGGCCACCCTCCTGTTTGCTGCGGAAGCTCCTGGGGTAAAGGTACTGTCTGGACGGGCCCTCCATTAAAACAAGTAGTGGGTTTTTAAAATGTTTTTCCCCCTTTCACATGGTCTTGTGCCCCTAACCTCAGCTAATGCGAATGGCTGACTGTATTTAACACAATGTTGTGGGTCGTTGTGGGCATCAATACCCCTAAACAGAAGAAACAATGCAAGACTCCATATCCCTGAAGTGTAACTCAGACATCCTTGTTTAATATATATCCTCATCAGTTAAAGAAGCATCAATGTAAAGCAAGAGTAGGCAACGGTGGTTCTCTACATGTTTCAGGCCAACAGCTCGCATCAGCAGTGTTGCAGTCCAAGAAACAACTCCCTCATATAAAAAACTGGTAGAGGATGTTATCATAACCACTTTGCTATTTTAATATGTTAACCTGTTTAAATGCCCCAAATCATAGAGTCATAGAGCTAACGGAGACTTCAAGGGCTATCCTGTCAACCCCCCCACCCCCTTTTTTTCATGTCAGGAGCAACTTGAGAAACAGCAAGTCGCTTCTGGTGTGAGAGAATTGGCTGTCTGCAAGGACGTTGCCCAGGGGACGCCCGTATGTTTTGATGTTTTGCCATCCTTGTGGAAGGCTTCTCATGTTCCCGCATGGGGAGCTGGAGCTGACAGAGGGAGCTCATCCATGCTCAACCTGGATTCGAACCTCCGACCTGTTGGTCTTCAGTCCTGCCGGCACAGAGGTTTAACCCAGTGGTTCTCAACCTGGGGTCCCCAGATGTTTTTGGCCTACAACTCCCAGAAATCCCAGCCAGTTTACCAGCTGTTAGGATTTCTGGGAGTTGAAGGCCAAAAACATCTGGGGACCCCAGGTTGAGAACCACTGGTTTAATCCATTGCACCACCAGGGCCCATGCAGAAACACAGAATCCAAGCAAATGTTGTGGCAACTCTTTTTTCATTTGACTTTTTTTTCTCTCGTTTGCTCTTTGCAGCTGGCTGCAGTTCATTTGGTGGATTCTCACTATTGCACAGATCCTGGCAAATTCATCTCTGTTCTCTGCACTTCCCTTTCCACCATGTTACACGTAGAGCTGCCCCATGTCAACGTCCTTTCCAAAATGGATCTGATAGAACAATATGGAAAACTGGGTAAGAGCCACTGACCATGGGTTCATTAAAGGCTGTGAAGTAGGTAAGTCTAGACTTGTATTAAGCGCCAGTAGAGCCAGAGTAGTAGTGGTTTGAGTGTTGCACTATGACTTTGAAGTCCAGAGGTCAATTTGCTGCTTGGCCATGGAAACCCACTAGTTGGCCTTGGGCGAGTCACAAACTTTAATCCCCAGAAAAACCCACAATAGGGCTGTTTTGGGTTGCCATAATTACTTGAAGGCAAACAACTACAACAGCAAAGAGATGTGGGGGTTCTGATCTGTTCCCTGAAGATGTCTAGCCAAATGCTAGATCCCTTTATTTCCAGTCAAACAGGATCTTGGATTTAAATCAGGGGTCCTCAAACTAAGGCCTGGGGGCCGGATTTGGCCCTCCAAGGTCATTTACCCGGCCCTTGCTCAGGGTCAGCCTGAGTCTGAAACGACTTGAAAGCACACAACAACAACAACAATCCTATCTCATCAGCCAAAGGCAGGCACACACTTCCCATTGAAATACTCATAACTTTATATTTGTTAAAATTGTTCTTCATTTTAATTATTGTATTGTTTTTGTTTTGTTTGTTTTTTTTTTTGCACTACAGATATGTGCAGTGTGCATAGGAATTCATTCATTTTTTTTTTCAAATTATAATCCGGCCCTCCAATAGTGTGAGGGATTGTGACCTGGCCCTCTGTTTAAAAAGTTTGAGGACCCCTGATTTAAATAAAACAGAGGTAAGTACATTCTCTGCAGCTAGAGCTTGTAAAAAGTCCTTTTGTGGATACAGTTCTGAGAATTTCCCAGCCAGAATGGGGACATTTGTCTTACCTGTGTCATTGGTAATTTAATAATAATAATAATAATAATAATAATTATTATTATTATTATTATTATTATTATTATTATTTATACCCCACTACCATCCCCCCAAAGGGGACTCGGGGCAGCTAACATGAGGCCAAGTCCAAAATTACAGTGCAGCAAAATAAAATACAAGAAGCAAAAATACCATTAAAATAAATACATGAAATAACAAAATAAAATAAACAGTTTCAAAATGATAGAGAAATAGAACACAGTGGGTGGGCCAAATGTACTAGGAATAAAATTGATAAAACCCTGGATGAGATATGTAGAAGGTGTTTCTGAGGGAGGAACACAAAAGGACTGGAACAGTAGAGTTAGGCCTACTTGATGTGAACTTTTGTCTTGAAATTTCCTCAACATTTTCTTTCACTTTTATTTCAGCTTTCAATCTAGATTACTACACCGAGGTTCTCGATCTGTCTTACCTCGTGGATCACTTGGCCTCAGATCCTTTTTTCAAGAAATACCGTCGCTTGAATGAGAAACTTGTGGGAGTGATTGAGGACTACAGCTTGGTCTCCTTTGTTCCTCTCAATGTCCAGGTACTGATACCCAGTTTGCAGGAAACAAGTGGTTATGGTTTGGTAATAGACACCCACAAGATGCTTGAGATACAGCTTAGTCGGAACTTTGGAATTTTTCAAGCAGCCATGTAAGAACAGCCGTGCTGACCAGGAAATTCTTGAAGCGTCATTATTATTTTCCCTAAATGACATGAAGCAGAAATATTGTATAACTCCTTGGCGAAAAGACCTGACATTAATTGGAACTTGCACCTAGTTGAAATTTATTAAGTATCATTAAGTATCAAATCTATTAAATATCATAGGAGCTTTTGCACAATTAAAGCTTGTGCGCTAGTTGTGCCCGTACCTTGAGAAGTCAGACTTGACCACAGTAGTCCATGCTCTGGTTACATTTCGAATAGACTACTGCAATATGCTCTACATGGGATTGCCTTTGAAGACTGTTCGGAAGCTTCAAGTAGTCCAACGGGCAGCAGCCAGGTTGCTTACCAGAGCAGCATACAGGGAGCATACAACTCCCTTGTTGCGTCACCTCCACTGGCCGACAATTTGCTACCAAGCACAATCCAAAGTGCTGGCTTTAGCCTATAAAGCCCTAAATTGTTTTTGCTAAGCTTACCTAAGATAAAAGTAAAGGGTAAAGGTTTGCCCCGACATTAAGTCCAGTCGAGTCTGACTCTGGGGATTGGTGCTCATCTCCATTTCTAAGCCGAAGAGCCAGCTTTGTCCATAGACACCTGCAAGGTCATGTGGCCGGCATGACTGCACGGAGCGCCATTACCTACCCGCCAGAGTGGTACTTATTGATCTACTCACTATTTATCTACTCATATACTGAACTGGTAGGTTGGTATAAGCTGGGGCTAACAGCAGGAGCTCATGCCACTCCCCAGATTCAAACCTGCAATCTTTTGGCCTGCAAGTTCAGCATCTTAGTGCTTTAACCCACTGTGCCACCAGGAGCTCCAGCTTACCTATCCGAACACATCTCCCCCTATGAACCACCTCAGAGGTTAGGATCAGAGGCCTTGCTCTCGGTCCCACCTCCCTCTCAGGCACGACTGGTGGGGATGAGAGACAGGGCTTCCTCAGTGGTGGCTCCTTGGCTATGGAATGCCCTCCCCAATGAAGTCAGATCAGCACCCTCCCTCCTGGCCTTCAGGACTAAGCCTTTGGGCAGTAAGCAATACAAGGAATGATCAGAGTTCTGTGGAATCGATATTTGATATTTGGAACGGCTTTGGGCCAAAATTTTTGGATTATGTGACTTTAATGTTTGTTCCTCTTGCCAGGATAAGGAGAGCATGAGGCGTGTGATGCAGGCAGTGGACAAAGCCAATGGCTACTCTTTCGGAGACATGGAGCACAGAAACCTTGAAACACTGATGTCTGCCGCAGTAGGAGCTGATTTCCACTTCCCATCGTATCCTTTCCATGGTTCTTCCACACATCCTCTTTCATCTATAGAACCTAGCTCATACATATATCAGAAATGCAAAATATTAAAAAATCTGTGTTTTCAATATCATGTTCCAATTTTTAAAAAGCCAGCGCATGGACAATGAGAACCGATCATTCAGTTGTGAATTAAATCATCTTCAGGTAATTACTGTGCATGAAGATCTGTTTTAGTTGTTAAAACGTATTAAGCCTATGGCAATTAAAATAGGTTCTCACATATTGTAACATGGGATAGATGAAGATTTAGCCATGTTTAGGCTGTACCAAGGATGTCCCCTAGCAGATGGTGTTGAACTGCAGCTCCCAACATTCTTCACCATAGCCATGCTGGCTCAGGTTAATAGAAGTTCCAGTTCAAGAATATCTGGAGTAGACCCATTGAAATTGAGTAGACTGAAATCCTTGAATTTCTTCATTGTTGTTGGGTTTGTTTGTTTATTTATTTATTTAGGGCTTTTATATCCCGTCCTTTCTCAACCTCCACAGAGGGACTCAGGACGGCTAACAAAGTGGCACCCCATGTGGCGCCCACATCAAAACATAAATATACAATTAACAGCAATGTAATAATAACAATATTAAACAGCATAAACAGTATAAAACCGTATAAACACTATATAAACACTATATAAACAGACAACAAATAGTCAGTGGTCACCGATTTAAATCATTATCCAAGGGCAGTCCATCAGTTCTAAATAAGTCAGCATGTCAGTAGGTCAGCCTATTCTCCAAAGGCCTGGTCCCATAGCCAGGATTTTACTTGTTTCCGGAAGGTCAAGAGGGATGCAGCAGATCTAATTTCACTCGGGAGTGAGTTCCATAGCTGGAGGGCCACCACAGAAAAGGCCCTGTCCCTTGTCCCCGCCAGACGCGATTGTGACAATGGGGGGACAATGAGCAGGGTCTCCTTAGATGATCTTAGTGCCCTAGGTGGATCGTAGTGGGAGATACGTACATAGCGGGAGATACGTTATTCTAGAGCAGACACGGGCAAACTTCAGCCCTCCAAGTGTTTTGGCTTAAGCAGCTGAGGGGGAAAAGTAAGGGGCCTGAGGCTGTTAGGAATTGTGGGAGTTGAAGTCCAAAACACCTGCAAGTCCCAAGTTTACCCATTCCTGATCTAGACGAATTACTTCTCCCCTTTTGTTCCCCCGTAGCTTCAATTCCTTTTTGGTATCGCTCCCCTCTAAATCGGTGACCACTGACTATTTGTTGTCTGTTTTTATAGTGTTTATATGGTTTTATACTGTTTTATACTGTTTATACTGTTTTATATTGTTATTATTACATTGCTGTTAATTGTATGTTTATGTTTTGATGTGGGCGCCACATGGGGTGCCACTTTGTTAGCCGTCCTGAGTCCTACTGTGGAGGTTGAGAAAGGACGGGATATAAAAGCCCTAAATAAACAAACAAACAAACAAACAAACCCAACAACAATGAAGAAATTTAAGGATTTCAGTCTAGCCAATTTCAATGGGTCTACTCCAGATATTCTTGAACTGGAACTTCTATTAACCTGAGCCAGCATAGCTATGGTGAAGAATGTTGGGAGCTGCAGTTCAACAACATCTGCTACAGCCTAAACATGGCTAAATCTTCATCTATCCCATGTTACAATATATGAGAACCTACTTTAATTGCCATAGGATTAATACGTTTTAACAACAAAAACAGATCTTCATGCACAGTAATTACCTGAAGATGATTTAATTGTACAAATGAATGATCGGTTCTCATTGTCCATGCGCTGGCTTTTTAAAAATTGGAACATGATATTGAAAACACAGATTTTTAATATTTTGTATTTCTAATATATGTATGATGGAATGTTCTCATATTAATTGTGCTGTCAGCTAACCCTTGGCTAGAGATAAAGAAGGATGGGACAGCAAACTTTCATCGTCCACTTTGAGCATCAGTACCTATTTGTTGCTCCCTTCTCCCCCCGTTTTAACAACTAGTTATAGGGAGCGGTTGACTCCCATGTTCAAGGAGCTCCACTGGCTGCCGTTTATTTTCCGGTCCCAATTCAAGGTGCAGGTTATCACCTACAAAGCCTTAAACGGTTTGGGACCCTCCTACCTTCGTGACCGTATCTCTCTCCATGTACCAACCCGGGCCCTTAGATCTTCGGGGGAGGCCCTCCTTTCACCCCTACCAATCTCACAAGCTTGTCTTGTGGGCACAAGGGAGAGAGCCTTCTCCTCTGTGGCTCCCCGACTTTGGAACTCATTACCTGGAGAGATCAGGAAAGCCCCTACACTAGAAACGTTCAAAAAGAACCTCAAAACCTGGCTCTTCCGCTGCACCTTTGCGAGTAGGTGCACAATATGACACCATTGCACCCCCCCAACGCTCTTCCCACTGGAATACACGCCCTCCAAATGGGAAGTTTAGCTTCACAACTCTGTGTGTTTTTACAAGTTCCCTGCAAATAACTTGCTCCTATTTTTCATCTCATTAGAACAGGGGTCTTCAAACTTTTTAAACAGAGGGCCAGGTCACAGTCCCTCAAACTGTTGGAGGGCCGGATTATAATTTGATAAAACCATGAATGAATTGCTATGCACACTGCACATATCTTATTTGTAGTGCAAAAAAACACTTAAAAACAATGCAATAATTAAAATGAAGAACAATTTTAACAAATATAAAATTATTAATATTTTAATGGGAAGCGTGGGCCTGCTTTCGGCTGATGAGATAGGATTGTTGTTGTTGTTGTTGTTGTGTGCTTTCAAGTCGTTTCAGACGTAGGTTGACCCTGAGTGAGGGCTGGGTAAATTACCTTGGAGGGCCGTATCTGGCCCCCAAGCCTTAGTTTGAGGACCCCTGCTCTAGAGCTTTATACACAATGGCCTTCAATCTGAGGCTTCTCTCACCAAAGCTCCTCACACCAGGCCTACTCACACTGATGCAGGGGTGAGTAGAGACCTTTCTTCCACTGAGGCCCTCATACACTGAGGGCTCTCTCAGTCTGAGGCCTTTCTCTCACTGAGACAAGCTAGGATTGTTGTTGTTGTTGTGTCATTTCAGATGTAGGTTGACCCTGAGTGAGGGCCGGGTAAATTACCTTGGAGGGCCGTATCCGCCCCCCGGGCCTTAGTTTGAGGACCCCTGCATTAGAGTCTTTTAATCATTTTATCCTGTACATGTGGCCTGCCCATTGTTATTGTGATTGTGCTTATTGGAATGTTATTTTATGACTGTGTTTTTATGTGTGTGTGTGTATTCCCTTTATGTAATTTTGATGATGTTGGTTGTTGTTTATGCTCTGGTTTTATTTTGCTGTAATATGTTGTCCGGGCTTGGCTCCATGTAAGCCACTCCGAGTCCCCATTGGAGAGATGGTAGCAGGGTATAAATAAAGATTATTATTATTATTATTATTATTATTATTATTATTATTAACTCCCAAATAATCAGCACCTTGGCGGTCCAGGAGAAGTATGTGCAGCCAGATGAGAAAACGGTGCAACAAGAAGTCATGGACATGTGACAGGCCTGCAGTAACGGCAGAAGGAAGGAAGTTCATCACATTGAAGATGTCCTCCTCTTTGGGGCGTCACGCTGAAAACTTTGTATTTGTGCTGAACCTGAGCAAGTCATTTGTACCAAAACAGACTGTCACGATGCAGGTCGTACCTTTCAGCTCCTATAGCTGAGAGAAAGATGAGCCCACGGCTTTTCCTGCAGAAGATTATAGACCTCTGCCTGATTTGTGCCTGGCTAAAGAAAAATGGGTGGTGTCATGTGAATCAGAAGTCAGAAGAACTAGTGTGTTGTCACACTCGAGCTCAAATCTTCACAAAAATGGAAATAATAAGTACTGTTTTGAAAGACATTTCCATTAGAGGCAACCTGTTTTGAAATCTCTGCCTTTCTGTCATTGGGATTCTCCATTCTAGTCTACTCTCACTCTCTGTAAGACTCTGTAAGATCTTGGAGTTGAAATCAAGCTCACAACAACAATATGGAGACAAATGATTTATTATCTTCTTTCCTCAGTCCCTGAAAGACAGTTCTAAAGTTTCCTGCTCAAATACCCTTTAATATAACAGCTCAACTCCCATCTGCCCTCTAGTGGCCAAACACTGTGCCCACAGTCTGTTAACTGCAATTTGTATTTCCCCTCACAAAACAGATGTCTTATTTACATTACCTTCACTGTACCCAGCCTCCTTTTCCTCCACCTCTCTTCTCTATGACAGAGAACCAAAGCAGCCAGTTCCAGGCTGATAAGGTGATCCCGACAACCTCTGCCTTTCAAATGTGTTGGTCTTCAATCCCTCTTGTCACAGGACACAACAGCTATGGATGATGGGAGTGGAAATCTCATGCATAAGAAAGTTGCAAGTTTGAGGAGACTGCTTTATCCTGCTACCTGTCACAGGAGACCATCATTTCTTCTACAACTTGTTCCTCTTCAATGTTTTCAGATTTGAAGATGAAAATCAGTGATGCCAGTCTCTTTTCAAAAACAGATGTCCTCAAAACCACCCTTGCGAGGGCTTTGGACTGAGTCTTTTCAAAGTTGTCTTCTAATGAGACTGCTGAATAAATGTATTCCAAACATACGCATGTCTCTCTCTGTGGCGTAATGCAAACACTGGGTCCACCTCGGGTATTCCAGCATCTTCTATAAGGCCCCTTCTATACTGCCATATAAAATCGAGATTATTTCATTTGAACTGGATTTTTTGGCAGTGTAGACTCATATAATCCAGTTCAAAGCAGATAATGTGGATTGCATGCTTTCAGACTGCTAGGTTGGCAGGAGCTAGGGCTGACAGTAGGGAGCTCACCCTGACTCGCGGCTTCGAACTGCCAACCTTCCAGTCAGCAGCTTTCCTGCAGCTAGCAGTTTAACTTACTGTGCTACCTCAGCCCTATATATATATATATATATATATATATATATATATATATATATATGATCTACATCTTTTAAATTATACCCATTTCTCTTACAGTATTAGAAATACGAGGGGTATTTTTAAAGTAAGCTCCGTTTGAACATAAGTACACAACGAAAGTTTATTTCAAAAAAGTAAATTTATTTTCAGAAAGTACATACTTCACTCTATTTTTCAACATAGTTGTTCAAACACTTATCATACCTCTGAACCAATTTTGAAATACTCTCTTCATAAAAACTTGCCACCTGCTCCGATAACCAAATTGTCTGTAATCAAAGAAGGGCGACCGGAGCGGTTCTCATCATGGACGTTGTCACGGCCATCTTTGAATTGTCGTACCCACTTACGCACTTTGCTTTCACTCATAACAGTATCACCGTACACTTCACAAATCTGTCGATGAATTTCTGCAGCAGGCAGGTTCCTTGCTGACAAAAATCGTATCACTGAGCGAACCTCACATGCGTTGAGTTGATAGTCTTAAACATCTTTAAAGCACAGAACAGAACCATAAAGGTTAGCTACAGAGCGGAAACTAAGCACAGTTGTTCCCGAGGCATGCCGGTACACGACGCACGCACTCGTTGCGGTATGCGCACGAACTACTAGTGTCTACAACAAAACGGACCTTACTTAAAAAATACCCCTCGTATTAACACATCCATTATCTTCAGTCTTTTGAGTTTGAGAATCTATATAAATAAAAATGTAATGTTAGTTTGTGGGATTAACATAACTCAAAAACCACTGGACGAATTGACACCAAATTTGGACACAAGACACCTACTAACCGAAGGAGTGACCATCACTCAAAAAAATTGATTTTGTCATTTGGGAGTTGTTGTTGCTGGGATTTATAGTTCACCTACAATCCAAGACCATTCTGAACGACGGACGGACAGACAGACAGACGGCTAGTACAGAATATATTCATATATTGACGGGCGAGCAGGCAGGCAGATAGGATTCACACACATATAGTATCAGAGATTTGAAAGGGGCCCCTAAAGAAGGACAATGATATGTTGCATGTTCCAGAGTAGCCAAACCAGACAATCTCCACATCAACATTGTCAAAGAAACAGCAAAAAGTATTGTTTACCCACAAGCATAAAGAAATTACATATATTAGAAACCAACACTTTCTCATTATTTTATTTTCCAGTACACCAGACTGGCCCACAGCAACGCGTGGCAGGGGACGGCTAGTACAGAATATATTCATATATTAACGGATGGACGGACAGCTAGTACAGAATATATTCATATATTAGGGACGGCTAGTACAGAATATATTCATATATTAACGGACGGAGGGACGGACGGACAGACAGGATTCACACAGAGAGATATAGTATCAGAGATTTGAAAGGGATCCCTAAAGAAGGACAATGATATGGGAGGCAGTGCTCAGCTGCAGGGAATGGGGCAGCTGAAAGTGGTGATGAAAGGGTGGGGAGCAGTTCATCCTCTGATGAGGAGGTATAGGATATAAGTTGGTTTGGTTTCAGTGGGTCTTTGCAGAAGGCAAAGTGTCTTTTTGGGTGTGAATCTTTGTTACTGTCATTACTCTCAAGCTTGGGTCCTTGGACAAAAGATCTCCAGATTTTGCATGCTCCCACCTTGTTTTCTAGGACCAGGACCAGAACCAGGACAAATTATGATAGCGTCAATTTATTCATGCTGGCTTCTAATGAGAATTCTGGGGCCAGTTTATTTGTCTTTTTGGAAGTCCATGGTATCGGTAGAACTTTCCTCCAGCACCACAATTCAGACAAGTTGATTTGTCCTAGATGTAGATTTCTCTCACTTCCTGTTGTCTCACCTCCGTTGTTAGCTATAAGTCATTTCTAAGTCCGATGTTTGTAACTTGGGGACTGCCTTTATTTAGCCAGAATGCAAACCTATTAATAGAGTACTCCTTATTGTACTCCCTGTACCATTATGAATGTTGACTTCCTTATTGCTGTTTTAAATGCCTGGCAGCACTAGCTGTACTACACTCCTGCAAGAGTGGCCCTCATTACTGTACAGTACTATTAATGCAGGCGAGGCCTATATATACCCTAAAGGGCATGAGATCCTGTGTGATCTCAGAAGCTAAGCAGGGAGACCAACAACAAACACCAGGTGCTGCAGGCTATATTTCAGAAGGAACTAGCAAAACCACCTCTGAGTATTCCTTGCCTAAGAATGCCTTATGACATTCATGGGGTCCTCATGAGTCAATGTTTCCATGTGGCAATGGAAGAACAGGTACTTTGGTGCATTTGGCATTGCTTCCAAGGTGCCACAAGGAGGAGCTATTGGTGCAAAAAACAGGTGGGACTCTCTTGGGTGTGTCTTATGTTGAAGTTAGTCCCAAAGGCACGTAATTGACTGTCTGGACCAGTGATTCTCAACCTTCCTAATGCCACAACCCCTTACTACAGTTCCTCATGTTGTGGTGACCCCCAACCGTAAAATTATTTTCATTGCTATTTCAAAACTATAATTTTGCTACTGTTATGATTTTTAATGTAAATATCTGATATGCAGGATGTATATTCATTTACTGGACCAAATTTGGCATAGATATAGATTGGATACTGGTGGGGCTGGGCGGGGCATTATTCCACAGATGTATAATCCCGACTTGCCTAGTTTCCAACAGACTTCACAACCTCTAAGGATGCCTGCCATAGTTGTGCAAGAAACGTCAGGAGAGAATGCTTCTGGAACATGGCCATTGTTGTTTATTCGTTTAGTCACTTCCGACTCTTCATGACCTCATGGATCAGCCCACGCCAGAGGTCCCTGTCGGCCGTCACCACCCCGAGCTCCTTCAGAGTCAAACCAGTCACTTCAAGGATACCATCCATCCATCTTGCCCTTGGTCGGCCCCTCTTCCTTTTTTCTTCCATTTCCTCCAGCATCATTCTCCAAGCTTTCCTGTCTCCTCATTATGTGGCCAAAGTATTATTATTATTATTATTATTATTATTATTATTATTATTATTTACAGCTTTTATATTCTGCCCTTCTCACCCCGCAGGGGACTCAGGGTGGATTACAGTGTACACATATATGGCAAACATTCAATGCCAATTTTTGACATACAAACATATACAGACATACACAGAGGCTATTTAACTTTTTCTGGCCGCCGGGGAGCTGTTGCTTTCATCGTCCATCTGCGACGCTGATGAAGCACCTCCGCATTCCCTGCATGCTTCCCAGCTGGAATGCTTCGCTGGAGTCTTCTTTATGGCTTCAAAAATCAGTTAATTTAGCCTCCCCACACTTTAAGGTGGTACCTTATTTTCCTACTTGACAGATGCAACTGTCTTTCTGGTTGCAAAGGTCAACAACAGGCTACACAATTGGTTGGAAACCCACTCCAACACAGGCTGGCTTCGAAATCATGACCTTTTGGTCAGAGTGATCTTAATGCAGCTGACACTCAGCCAGCTGCGCCACAATCCCGGTGCTTCAACTTTGTCTCTAATATCCTTCCCTCCAATACTAGTAATTCAACGTTGTCTCTAGTATCCTTCCCTCCAATGAGCAGTCAGGCTTTATTTCCTGAAGGATGGACTGGTTGGATCTTCTCGCTGTCCAAGGTACTCTCAGAACTTTCCTCCCAACACCACAGTTCAAAAGCATCTATATTCCTTCGCTCAGTCTTCCCTATGGTCCATCTCTCACATCCGTAGGTGACTACAGGGAATACCATTTCTTTAACTATGCGGATCTTGGTTGTCAGTGTGATGTCTCTACTCTTCACTATTTTATCGAGATTGGTCATTGCTCTCCTCCCAAGAAGTAGAAGTCTTCTGATTTCCTCACACAACCCAACTATTCTGGGCATTTTGCATTTAGAATATAGTTGTTTTCTATCTTGTAATGTAAGTGGGACTCAGTGGTTTTTAAGAGCATTTGCCCAATCAGTCCCTTCTTAGCATCAAATCCAGTAAGATTAAACTGGATTAAGGGCACAGTCACTGGAAGCAACACTGGCTTTGCCTGCAAGAGAATCTCCTAGAAGTGTCTTTGCTTACATTTGTCCCCATCTTTACCAATATGGTCCTAGGAGAGTGGAGGACAATTATTGAAGGGGAGATCTTTGCATACACAATTCCTGTGTTACCTCCTTATCCTATGAGAATAAGAATTGAGCCTGAAAGAGTAAGAGGAGCAGCTGCCATAAAGATGGAAAATAGTGAGAAGTCAGTTTTGAAAACACTCCAGACTTGAGTTTGCATGATTACTGGTTTAAGCATTGGACTACGACTCTGGGGAATCAGGGTTTGAATATCCACTCACCCACTGAAACTCATTGGACATTATAGTCTCGACCTTAGAGGAAGGCAATATCACATCTCTTAATAAATGTTGCCAAGAAAAACTAATGTGGTGTCTTTGTGTTATAGAGCTAAAATTTAGGGGTCTTTGCCAGGAGGCAGAGACCAATTAGACTCATCAAAGAGTTCTTTTTCCCTGGCGAGACAGAGAAGCATCCCATATTTTTCCCTGATTTCCCAGTGAAAGGTCTCACCAAGTTGAAGAAAAGCCATCGAGGTTTTATTTGCGATTCAGCTGAAAAGGATGCGGAGCTGCAATCATTCGCCAGCAGAGCATGAAGAGAATACACCAATGCAGTCATATTTATAGTAAAT